TGAAACTTGAAACACTTGAAACGGCTTGAGACGCTGTGCGCATCAGACCGTCCAAGCAGCAGTTCTATTGTAAACAGTTTATTTTCCGTGATTCACAATTGGAGAAAACCGGTGTTGTTGGAATCATTGTTTAGCAATCCTGCCCGAGGTCCTGTTTCAGTCTCTTGTTAAGGTTACTGAAGGATCTAAGTTAGTCAAGCCTTTGAGAAAGCCTAATTGGTTGAGCCGCTCCGGCTGAAGTTGAGGGTGCCAGATGGCGAGGTTTATACCCCGATGAAAGCTGGCACCAGCTGGCGGGAGTCGTGCCTGTATTGGCACCATAATGGTGCCGTAAGTCCTGCCTGCTCCTCCAATATTTCTCCGGACAAGTGCCAACTTTGTACACCATCATCTGCCTCCCCGCTCGCCAGACTGCTGCTGGGGGAGGGGGTCGTTGTTGGTGTGTGGTGACGACCCCAGGTGGTGGTGGTGACGACCTCAGATGGTGGTTGTGGTAGGGACGGTGCTGGTATTTATACCTAAGAGTATCTAAGGCAACTGAGATGTATTACAGGTCTTAATGCCCCTCCGACTAGCTGTGCTCTTCCTCCTGTGTACCAATTTAACTCTTCTGACGTTCAAACGACATTCTGTAGCCTATTCTCGTAGCTTAAACCTCTTAGCTCTGGTACCAGTCTTCTTGCTGGTGTCTGTACTTTTTATTCATTCCCAGCTTTGACATTCCTTCTCCCCAACTACACAGCAGACCACTTCACCCTCCCCAGCGTCACAGCAGACCACTTCACCCTCCCCAGCGTCTCAGCAGACCACTTCACCCTCCCCAGCGTCTCAGCAGACCACTTCACCCTCCCCCAGCATCTCGGCAGACCACTTATATAACCTCTCCACAGCGCCGCCCACAAGAACATGCGATTAAAAACTCGTTTATTTCTATTTTTCAGCGGCAGAAAGGAGCCAAGTGGCACTTTTTTTTAATTAAAACGGAAAAATGGTCGAGTTTAATTTCCGTGGAAGGTTTTAAGTAAGATCCGCGGCGGGTAATCTTCCCTTTTTAATTACGAGTTTTTGGGACTGATTGCGTGTGTGGGGGCGGCTTAGGTCCTCGACTGGGTCCCTTGAAGGTAGGGGCCAGGGCTGGGGGCCAGGAGCTTAACGTGGAGTGGAGTGGGGGAGGGAGGAGCTGGGAGTGAGGGGGGAAAGAAATGGGAGGGGAGAGACAAGAAGGGGAAGGACGTATATGGCGGAAATTGGTATTAGGAATTGAAATTGGAATGAGAGGGGAAGATGAAAGAAGCAAGAGGGAGAATAGGATCGAGGAGAGGGGCGAGGGGAAGGAGCAAGGGGGGAGCGCTGGGGAGGAAGAAAGTTTACCTTGGTGTTCTACCCATCTTCCCCCGTGCAGTTTACCTTAGACATTTGTGCTCCACCTGTATGGTTTACCTTAGACATTGGTGCTCCACCTCCTGTTCTGACCTGAGGGGGTTATGGAACTTAAACCTCCAAAAAAACTCCTTTAAACCTCCTTAAACCGTTGTTCTGACCTGAGGCTAATGGAACTTAAACCTCCAAAGAGAGCTCTGGTTGCTGCACCAGACTGTTACAGGTGTACAACATCCCCCCAACCACTCCCTGCCGGAACAGATAACCGACCTCGGCAGCCACTCTCCCGCTACCCTCGGTCGACCAGCAATGAACTCTGGAGCGCTTGAAGTTTTCTCAGGAGATCACCCTGTACGCCTCTTGATCTTGGAGAGGGGTTCAGCATCGCATATCTAGGGGTGCGGCTCCAACACTGGCCTCTTTGTCCTATGTACACACCCTACTTGAGCCGCCGTGACTCCCCACTCTCTCCTTGTTTGGAATGATCTAAATTCCCCTTTTACGGATTAGTATTCTCTGCCACCCTGTCCACAGCTGTGATCCTTTTTCTCCTGCTTTCTGGGAAGCCTCATTAAGACAAGAGCAAAAACCAGCTAACAATACACATTTAATGAACAAAGATGAAATATTAACATACAACATTCTAAGCTGCTACAGCCTGGTAGCAACCCAATATCATATCCCGGCTTTACCAAGCGTCCATATCAAGTGGCTGCTCAACTCTTGGCTTACCACTTACTACTCCCTAAGTGAGGTCGAAAGATTGTCCCAACAACATTATACACTCAGCCCTCAAAGTATGTAAAACTCAGCCTATGGCTGAAATGCCAGAAACGTCTGCATAAATATTCCCCAACACAAAAGAAATGCTGCCCGAAACGCTGCTCGTACTAGTGGCTTTACAAGAATGTAATCACTATGCTATGTATCCTCACAATCCCAATGTACCTTCGTGTATAAATAAATAAATCTCTCACCTTACACTGCGCCTTACATGCCAATAAGCAATTAAGCACTCCTCTTATACATTGTGTGTGACCACCATGAACCTCTGTTCTGCTCCTAGAGGCTCACTACCTTGTATGTCGTTGGAGGCAGTGTTGGAGGCAGCATTGTGTTGGAGACAGCATTGTGTTGGAGACAGCATAGTGTTGTGTTGGTCTCCAAAATAGTCAAGAAGGCTCTTCTGCTGTCCTCCCAAACTGCTACACAGTGAAGGTCCCATCAAACACCAGTGATGCTTCACCACCGATCCCACAGACACGTGAGGGACCTCTTCACTGCTCCTTTACACTGCTTGAGGTCGAAACCTTGAGGTCTTGGACCCCCGCTCGAAAGGCGGGGTCCAAGAGCTAAATACTCGATACTTCAGGCAAAAATAGATGAGTACACATACACAAAACACACACACACACACACCACAAAACACTCGTCCAATACCTGCGATAAATCCCTTAATCCCCCAATATTTCACCGGAAGAAGACCAGAAGAACTTGGAGAGAGCAAGTTGTTGGAGACAGCGTAGTGTTGGAGACAACATTGTGTTGGAGACAACATAGTGTAGGAAACATCAGGTTGTTGGTGAGAGCAATGGAAGTCGGCACATTGTTGAAGATAGCATTGTGTTGGAGAGAGAAGGTTGGGTGAGGGAGGGAGTGAGTGAGTGAGGGAGGTGAGGAGAGGCAGCAGTGCCCCCCTCAGGAGGCACCAGGAGGCAGTAATTACATTCCGGTCATATCTAAGGGAGGTTTTTTTTACCTCAGTCGATATCTTGAAGAATGGTGAGGAGACATTTTTACGCCTTGTCTTCAAGACACATGTGTTGGGGTGTAGGGGGGGTGTGGTGGGGTGTAGGGGGGTGTAGTGGAGGTGTTGGAGAGGGTGTTGGGTTATAGGGGGGGGGGGTGTAGGGGAGGGGGTGAGGGAAGACGTGAGGTGGGGTGTACTTGCCTTTGTGTACTTACCTATCAGTTAAAGCAGGGAAGTGAGGTGTGACTGGCTATGCCCCGCTCACTAGTCCTGTTGCCTTACAACTTGACTATTCTGCTACATGAATTCTTGTACGAATCTGGCCTGAAAGTTATGGATGGAGGCGGCTTCCACAACTTCTTTCGGTACGTTCCACCTGTTGACCACCCGTACAGGGACGTAAGATTATGTCCTTACATTTCCTCGACATATTTACTGTTTCAGCTTCCACTTATGTCCATCCATCCTACTTTCTCACATATTAAAAAAGCTGTTCATGTCCACCTTGTCTTTTTTTTTCTTAGTATCCTTTATGCTGTGGTCATGTCCCACTTCTTTATTTTGTCTTTTGGGGTTATGAGATCTAGTTCAGTGGACCTGTCCTCATAGCGTAGCCCTCTTAGCTCTGACACCATTGCAAAGTCTATTGTAACGTATATATCTCTTGTCCCTGTGTTGCTTCACCTGTGTTGCTGTGGGGCAGGGAGGAAGTTTTGCAACAGATGAGTCTTCTTCGTGAATACTGCTGCTCCTAAAGGATCACTTACTCACACCTTGCCCCAGACGTCGTGAGTGAGTCTCTGGTTCCTATGAGGACTCATCTTGCTCGAGAGAAAAATCCAGTCAAAAAATCCTTCGTCAAAGTTATTTATTTTCCAAGGTTTTGACAGGACGCTACATGGGCAGGATCACAGGAGGAGATGACTCGCGAAGACAGACTGATGATAGCGACTCTGCCTCGCCGGGCAGGAGATAATAGGAAGATGATGTTGGCCATTTCTCTGAAGCCGGAGACTTGCTTCTTCGGACGGATCTCTCTCTCTCTCTCTCTCTCTCTCTCTCTCTCTCTCTCTCTCTCTCTCTCTCTCTCTCTCTCTCTCTCTCTCTCTCTCTCTCTCTCTCTCTCTCTCTCTCTCTCTCTCTCTCTCTCTCTCTCTCTCTCTCTCTCTCTCTCTCTCTCTCTCTCTCTCTCTCTCTCTCTCACTCTCTCACTCTCTCACTCTCTCACTCTCTCACTCATAACAGCTCTTCTTTGGCCCCGGCCACCCAACTCACAGGATCTGAGGAGCTACGAGGAAAGCAACATCATATTCTAAAGAATTTTTTCAACTTGATAAAACAACATTTTTGGAAAAAAACTGGAAAATTAAAATCAAGTTCAGATCATTTAAATGTAATGAAAAGGAGACGGGCATCATGATGAGTCCTCCACATTGCACTAGGGAAGAACTATAGTCATCATTTAGGGAGCCGATCGGCCGAGCGGACAGCACGCTGGACTTGTGATCCTGTGGTCCTGGGTTCGATCCCAGGCGCCGGCGAGAAACAATGGGCAGAGTTGCTTTCACCCTATGCCCCTGTTACCTAGCAGTAAAATAGGTACCTGGGTGTTAGTCAGCTGTCACGGGCTGCTTCCTCGGGGTGGAGGCCTGGTCGAGGACCGGGCCGCGGGGACACTAAAAAGCCCCGAAATCATCTCAAGATAACCTCAAGATAGATCATACCCAAAGTGAACATAACAGCCCAGTGTTACCATCATCGAGTTAGCACTCACAGAGGAAGTGCTGAAAATGTTGTAACTTGTAAACTTATAAACAAATGGTATCGTGAGCTTCACGATACCATTGCTTTCGTCCAGGTGAGAACCCCGATGACCTGGTTGGATAACCAGGTGTCCGAAGTAGACACCTGCCGCTCTACCTCCCGCTCTCTGGGGACAGAAGATAGCCTAGTGAGTCCTCAGAGATGCTGCGAGGTCCCTGTGTTCTGGGGCTGGTGTATACAGGGGTTAAGCGCCGACATCATCACGAGGGAAAGTGAGTACAGAGCCCACAGTAAAGAGAGCAGTGACGGAGTGTCACCGGTGGAGCTCCACCAGGCTCTGCCCTTTGTCATCCTCCGTGACTGTATCCACGGGGAGTTTCAAATATTGTCTTCCTTAGGCTCCTTTCTTTGTCTCTGGTAATTTCAACGTCCTCCGGTTACGCTTGGTTTGATACTCTCCACTTAGTTCACACACTGAACCTTGCTCTCTTGTGAAGACCTGGAACCTATTTTTTTTTTAGAGTTCCTGCGCATTTCTTCCTTGTTCTACATGTATGTTCTTCTTTATCATCCGTTTTATCACCCATTCCTTTACTGCTTCTTGCCTTTTGATGTGACCTGGTTTGAGTCTGCGTTGAAACTGTTACATCGTTTTCTCTCTTCATCGAAATTATTCCTCTGTTTTTCTTCTCATTCTCATATATTAACCTCTGACTTTCTCGTGTAGAGATCAAAATAAGGACTCAAAGAAAGTCTTCAGCCCCTACAAAATGGTCATATTCCACCCTATAAATAGCACACAAGTAAATATAACAATGCCCTACGGACGGCCTGTGCTATCAGTAAAATAAGTAAAAATTTAGAAAATGTATTTGTCCCCCCTCGCTGAGACCATCTTCACCAGAGAGAGCGCAAACTGAGGGGGGACAATTCTGTATGTGGAGCAGTCCCCCGGTAGCTGCTGGGGGCGACGGCCCCGGACCACTGCCGGCTGGTGAAGCCAGAGGTTGATACCCGGAGATTGATTGGCATTATAAACCCTGCATGAGGGGCGTAGTGAATGGTGTTTGGAGGGGTAACGTGGGGCGCTGAGGGAGCATAGTGAGTGTGATATTGGGAGACACTGAGGTGAGTTGGGGGAATGTGAGACGGGGCGTGGAGAGTGTGTGAGAACGAGACTGAGTGTGAGTGTAAAAGAGTGAGAGCGTAGGCTGAGAGTAGGAGGTGTGACCGAGGAGGATTCACGGGGGAGGTCGGGGGGTGAGAGTGGTGGTGTTTACACATTCACTCCAGCAGGGCCAGCGGCTTGTCAGCCAGCAGGCGACCCACCCAACACCGCCGCTCCACGCCTCCCTCTGAATTATAACGTGGGTCCACTTTAATAGGGGTAAAACACAATAGAAAAAACTCACATTACTCCCTTATAATTGAGCCCCTCGGAAGAAAGATCCCGCTTCTCAAGTACCCAGGCAAGTTTACCAGTGCCCCGGTGTACTGATCACATGCCCTGTGTTTACCTGAATTTACCTGATCTTCCTGTGAGACGAGAAACTTTTAGTATCCCATAGTTAGCCCCCTTGACACAGTACTCACCTAGTTGTACTCGCATAGTTGTGCTTGCGGGGGTTGAGCTTTGTCTCTTTAGTCCCGCCTCTCAACTGTCAATCAACTGGTGTACAGGTTCCTGAGCCTACTGGGCTCTATCATATCTACATTTGAAACTGTGTATGGAGTCAGCCTCCACCACATCACTGCCTAATGCATTCCATTTACTAACTACTCTGACACTGAAAAAATTCTTTCTAACGTCTCTGTGGCTCATCTGGGTACTAAGTTTCCACCTGTGGCCCCTTGTTCGTGTTCAATCCGTGCTGGAGAGTTTGTCTTTGTCCACCCTGTCAGTTCCTCTGAGAATTTTGTAGGTGGTTATCATAGCTTCCCTTACTCTTCTGTTTTCCAAGGACGTGAAGTTCAGCTCCTTTAGCCTTTCCTCATAGCTCATACCTCTCAGTTCCGGGACGAGTCTGGTGGCATCCCGCTGAATCTTTTATAACTTTGTCTTGTGTTTAACTAGGTATGGACTCCAGGCTGAAGCTGCGTATTCCAAGATTGGTCTGACATAAGTGGTATACAGGGTCCTGAACGATTCCTTACACAAGTTTCTAAAGGCAGTTCTTATGTTGGCCTCTTCTTGGCCCACAGTGTGACCCCCCTTCTGGGATTATGGACCGGAGCAGCTGCCTAGGACCTCCTGGTGTGAGGGGCAAGTTCCAAACAGACCAGCCCCCCGGGGGTGGGAAAGTGGCGCTCGGCCGCGTGATCGGAAATGATTTTACGAACTTGTTAGGGGTCAAGAGAGGCGATGACCCCTTCCCAAGGGGCACCTCTTAAATGAAGCCACACTACACCACCACCCGGGGGTCACACTACACCACAGGAAAGAGGAGGGCCTTTTAATATTTGTGCAATTGCATGTGTGCCTTGGTTGCTAACCCCAGCGTGTGAGCAACCCAGGCCGCCACGACTGGAAATTAAACCCTAATGGAGGCTGCTGGAGGGTCAAAGGTCACCCCTCTCGTGCTGTGTTGGATCATGGAAGGTCAAGGCAAGTGTTTCTGTGACGTGAAAGGTTGCCGGCGGGTCGGCGGTCAGTGCCACTGTATTAGGACACTGAAGGTGAATATTGATGTGCTTGAGTCATGGACACTCCCAGTCAGGTCAAGGAAGGTCACCCTGAGTACACTTGGCTGTTTGCTTGTCTTATTCAGCGTACACGAACAGAGGAAATATTTGATGTGAAAGACACTGATTAATACAAGGTAAACAAGACCAGGACCTGGGATATGAGGGCAAGGAGATGAGGTATGTGGACAAGGAGATGAGGTATGAGGACTAGGAACTTGGGTATGAGAACAAGGAGCTGGTGTATGAGAACAAGGAGCTGGTGTATGAGAAAAATGAGCTGGGATATGAGGACAAGGAGCCGGTGTATGAGGACAAGGAGCTGGTGTATGATGACAAGAAGCTGGGGTATGATGACAAGGAGCTGTGGGGTATTAAGCGAGAGTGAAGGAACGGTGCCTAGCTATTATATTCACCAGCCTCACCAAACTTTGCAGGGTGATTGGTGGTTGTTGGGGGATGGTCATAGGACATTCCGGGTCAGGGTCAATCCCCCTACCCCCTCCCCCCTTCCTCCCCATTCATATCAACAGCTAACATTGAAAAGTTCCGGACTCCATCCTCACTAAGCTTCATCCTGCATGTTATTTCCAACATGATGATTGATCGTTGGAAACGTTGACTTTATACACGCCGAGATGGGGTACCCGGCGATGCCCGGGGTCATGGTGGTGGTTACGGTGATGATGACTGTGTAATGAAGGTGGTTACGGTGATGAGGATGACAGTGTGGAGTGTACACTGTAACAGTGACGAACGTCGTGTGCAGTGTAAATATTGTCCAGGACCTCACCATATTTTCACAGCATATATATATATATATATATATATATATATATATATATATATGTCGTACCTAGTAGCCAGAACTCACTTCTCAGCCTACTATTCAAGGCCCGATTTGCCTAATAAGCCAAGTTTTCATGAATTAATATATTTACTATAATTTTTTTCTTATGAAATGATAAAGCAACCCTTTTCTCTATGTATGAGGTCAATTTTTTTTATTGGAGTTAAAATTAACGAAGATATATGACCGAACCTAACCAACCCTACCTAACCTAACCTATCCTATATTTAAAGGTAAGGTTAGGTTAGGTAGCCAAAAAAAGCTAGGTTAGGTTAGGTTAGGTAGGTTAGGTAGACGAAAAAACATTAATTCATGAAAACTTGGCTTATTAGGCAAATCGGGCCTTGAATAGTAGGCTGAGAAGTGCGTTCTGGCTATTAGGTACGACATATATATATATATATATATATATATATATATATATATATATATATGTCGTACCTAATAGCCAGAACGCACTTCTCAGCCTACTATTCAAGCCCGATTTGCCTAATAAGCCAAGTTTTCATGAATTAATGTTTTTTCGTCTACCTAACCTACCTAACCTAACCTAACCTAGCTTTTTTTGGCTACCTAACCTAACCTTACCTTTAAATATAGGTTAGGTTAGGTTAGGTAGGGTTGGTTAGGTTCGGTCATATATCTACGTTAATTTTAACTCCAATAAAAAAAATTGACCTCATACATAGAGAAAAGGGTTGCTTTATCATTTCATAAGAAAAAAATTATAGTAAATATATTAATTCAGGAAAACTTGGCTTATTAGGCAAATCGGGCCTTGAATAGTAGGCTGAGAAGTGAGTTCTGGCTACTAGGTACGACATATATATATATATATATATATATATATATATATATATATATATATATATATATATATATTATATATGTAGTATATTTTGGTAGCAGTCTTTCTTGTAAACATATGTTGTTAAATATGACCGAAAAAGTAAGATTAATAATTGAGCTTTAAAGAATCTTGAGCTTTATGAAGGCACTAAAGAAACTCGTATGTGACTGGGAGGTTGTTATATTATGTATAGTAAAGAGAGCTATAATTATTAATACAAAAATATGCCTGTAGCGCTTACAATATACACAAGTGTGTGTCACGAAGTAGCGATGCTCACAGAGAACGGAGGCGATGAACGTATAACTCATCAATACAATGCATGATGCAGTGCTTATATAATATATATTTATATACGTCAACTATTGCTCGAGCTATGCTCGTCCAAGCTGACGTGGCCCTTCACCTATTCGTACACTCCGTTGTTAGTTAGTTTAGTTCATTTATTATGCACCCCATACCCATGTTGTGGGCGGTAGTGGAAAGGGTTACAGAGGCACATAATGGGCTCAGGGACTGAACCCCACAATTCATTTAGCTAAGCAAGTTACAATCTTGGTGAACTAGTTTCAAAATTCAGTATAAGTCGTCACATCAACAATAGGTTCGAGATCGACCACAACTAAAGTTTCTAAATTTAGCAACTGACATATGTGGAGAGCTAGTGTCACAATTGATATGTTTATCCTGCACACCGCCCCCCATCCAGTGGGCAGCGGTGGATAGGTTACAATCACTTAGTTACTACCTACAGTTAGTAAACTGGGGATATTTGGTTAAAATTTCTGGTAGCAGATCATTTTGAATGAAATATTTACACATCGCTGGAACATTGGTTATAGAATTGTCTCTAAATTCACGTATCTTTTCGCACTCCATCACATAGTGACGGAGGATGTGCGAATAATTTTGTTGACACAGTTTACATTTGGTCAGGTCTACATCAGCAGATAATGAGAATTCCCAGAGATACTTGTAACCGAGTCTAAGCCGAGCAGTAGTAACATCTAGAAGTCTGCTGATTTTATTGGATGAACTCCGTTGTTGATTACAAAGTGCGAAAAAAAGCAGTTTTAACACCACCTTACTACTCAACAATGGTAAAACTTGACGGCAAAGAGCAGCAAGTTGAAATAGCAGCTGGAACATTGAGCTATAAAGTCCCCATGCAAAGGTTTCTTTAGCGGGGAGACATCTCCCGTCACGCAGGGTGAAGTCTCACCTCCACAGATCTCCAGTATCATCTATTGATACTGGTAATGGCTCAAAAGGGCCACCACTTATGGGCTATTCGTGCCCGTGCCACCTTTTGGGTGACTTAATCTTCATCAATCAATCATCTTTAGCGATCTCCCACGGGCCTAAACGTCTCTGCTCTCGGCCTCAACGGCATGCTTTTCTCCACACAGTTGGTGTAGTTTGGTGGTCACCTAAAGCCTATCAACCTCTGGAGAGGTATTAAAGCCACCACAATATCGTATTGACCAACCACCAAATACACTTTAACCATGAACATAGTTCACGACTAAAGTATACTCTCAGTGTATATACGTCGAGGCCGCGGAGTACACCTTTCGGAGTATTATATATATAATATATAAGAGATATAATGAAAGAGAGAACCACTGAGAGTTTCACACACTACGGACACCTTCTAGGAGGATCGTAGAGAGAAACAAACACACAAACTCGAACTAAATATTCACGCATAAACTAAATTGGAGAAGGTTCAGAGGTTTGCCACCAGACTAGTGCCCGAGCTGAGGGGCATGAGCTATGAGGAGAAACTACGAGAATTAAACCTCACATCGCTGGAAGACAGGAGAGTTAAGGGGAGGGGACATGATCACCACATACAAGATTCTCAAGGGAATTGCTAGGGTAGACAAAGACCGTTTATTTACCACAAAGGGCACACGCACTAGGGGACACAGGTGGAAACTGAGTGCCCAAATGAGCCATAACGACATTAGAAAGATTTTTTTAGAGCCAGAGTAGTTAATAAATTGAATATATTAGGAAGTAATGTGGTGGAGGCTGACTCTATAAACAGTTTTAATTGTAGATCAGATAGAGCCCAGTAGGCTCAGGAACCTGTACACCTGTTGATTGACAGTTGAGAGGCGGGACCAAAGAGCCGAAACTCAACCCCCGCAAGCACAACTAGGTGAGTATAGGATCGAAACCAAGTACAAATATCAACCAAATATAACGAGGAGAAGCACAGCAACACCAGCCATAAAGAGGAGAAGCACAGCAACACCAGCCATAAAGAGGAGAAGCACAGCAACACCAGCCATAAAGAGGAGAAGCACAGCAACACCAGCCATAAAGAGGAGAAGCACAGCAACACCAGCCATAAAGAGGAGAAGCACAGCAACACCAGCCATAAAGAGGAGAAGCACAGCAACACCAGCCATAAAGAGGAGAAGCACAGCAACACCAGCCATAAAGAGGAGAAGCACAGCAACACCAGCCATAAAGAGGAGAAGCACAGCAACACCAGCCATAAAGAGGAGAAGCACAGCAACACCAGCCATAAAGAGGAGAAGCACAGCAACACCAGCCATAAAGAGGAGAAGCACAGCAACACCAGCCATAAAGAGGAGAAGCACAGCAACACCAGCCATAAAGAGGAGAAGCACAGCAACACCAGCCATAAAGAGGAGAAGCACAGCAACACCAGCCATAAAGAGGAGAAGCACAGCAACACCAGCCATAAAGAGGAGAAGCACAGCAACACCAGCCATAAAGAGGAGAAGCACAGCAACACCAGCCATAAAGAGGAGAAGCACAGCAACACCAGCCATAAAGAGGAGAAGCACAGCAAACACCAGCACAGCAACACCAGCCATAAAGAGGAGAAGCACAGCAACACCAGCCATAAAGAGGAGAAGCACAGCAACACCAGCCATAAAGAGGAGAAGCACAGCAACACCAGCCATAAAGAGGAGAAGCACAGCAACACCAGCCATAAAGAGGAGAAGCACAGCAACACCAGCCATAAAGAGGAGAAGCACAGCAACACCAGCCATAAAGAGGAGAAGCACAGCAACACCAGCCATAAAGAGGAGAAGCACAGCAACACCAGCCATAAAGAGGAGAAGCACAGCAACACCAGCCATAAAGAGGAGAAGCACAGAGCAACATCAGCCATGAAGAGGAGAAGCACAGCAACACCACCCATAAAGAGAAGAAGCACAGAGCAACATCAGCCATGAAGCAGTGCGCCATAGTGAGGTCTGACTAACTAGGGGAAGGTAGTGTGTGACAGGCCTAGTGCTCTCCCCTAGAGTAACGCAAAGTTACCGGACTACTGAGGACCTTCAGACGTTACAAATTCTGTCCGTCATTCGCATGTAATCGAAATTTGCCGTGTTATAATGACTGATATGCTTTCGAGATGTTTGTTTCCTGAGGAAGCAGCAATATGCCTCCACTCCCTCACTCTCCTCCTCACTTCACTCTCTCTCAGTCCTCGGTAACGTCTTCGGAACCAGGCTCATAAACTTCTAACTTTTTCCTCATGGATTTGATCTGTTCGTTCTTCTTGTTCAGCATCTTCTTCATGTTCTGATAGGCTCCGGTCTGGGAGAACTTCCTCTCCAGTTCCTGTTGGCAGACGAAATAAAATTGTGGTAATGTGTTCTCACAGACATAATAACATAGGATAATACCCCACACACTTGTGTATTTGTGAAATTTATGTAAGGAATTTACACCAAGTCTTTCGCACTCTCCTGAGGGTGAAGGTCTGAGTGTGTGGTTAGGACCAGACTTACATCTCGACGTCTAATGATCATAGCCCGTGCTACTGGCAACTCTTTGTTCCCTGTAGCTGAATCTAAAACAGCAACAACATGACGCCTCCTTTGTTTTTTGCTCACCTAGCTGTTTCAGGAGAGTTAGTCAGGTGGTGTGGGTTTCATCCTAAGGATAATCAGTTAAGGCGAAACCGCGAATGGCTCATTAAATCAGCTATGTTTCATTGGATCTGTAAACCCACTTACTTGGATAACTGTGGTAAAAACTAAGACCTAGTAGGTGGCCTAGGGGGACCTCGATAATCCTAAGTTACAGGCTTCCTGTCCCTGATAACGGGAATTATGTCCTTATTGGGTGCAGACACGGCCTAAGGTCACTAAGGAAGTTGTAAGATCATGTAAGAGGTGCTTCAGAGGGACTGATATCTACAAATTTCGTAATGTTTCGGGTCATGAAAACAAAATACAAGAATAGAGAGAGGGGGGGGAGGGAGGATGAATATAAAAAACGTACTCGTGATATTCCCGCAGCCAATGAGAACACAGCAGTCAGATAGTTTACTTCCAAGACATTACAAGGGGCGAGTGGCTGGGGTGCTCTCACGACCAGGCGTCGTACAGCCTGGCCAGGAAATAGGTCGTACTCGTGTACCAATAAGAAAACGAGGACAACCTGATCGTTTACTTAATGTCTGCTGTTATATCTATAGCTGGGCACCTTGCACCATTATGGTGGCACAGCTGGTATCTTTGACCAACTGTACCAACCAGCTGCTGACCTACCCATCTTACCTTCTCTGCCAGCTGCAGCTGCGCCTTGACCTGCAGGAGGCTTTGCCTGGAGATGGTGAGGTCAGTGGCCAGCTGGTCGTGTGAGGTATCCTTCACCACCTCCTGCGTCGCCAGCTGTAGCCTCATCTTCTCCACCTCCTCCACTAGCTGCAACAGATAGGAGTACAATGGGCCGGTAAACTAGGAAAACATTCATGGTAACAGAGTATTGAACAGGGTGTGGAGGGTAGGGGGTGTGACGCTAAGGAGGGGGTTGTCACGTGGACAGGCTGTGGCTGTGACGCTAACGAGTGTGTCAGGTGGACAGGCTGTGACGCCAGGTGACGATAGGGAGCAGGACAATGCTATACTGGGGGGAGGGAGAAAGACAACCCCTCCTCCGGGCAGCAATATAAATATAGCCCGAGTGTATATATAATGATGTGAGTACCTCGGTGAAGTCATCAGTGGTGGGCCTGCTGGCTACCGCCTGCTTCAGTCTGTTGAGCTCCTCGCGCGCCTCCTGCAGGTTCAGGCTCATCTCTGTCCTCCCCTTCGTCGCCTCCGTCGCCTGTCAACAACGCGGGTGCAATAAACAAACTGTTTATAAGGTGTTAGAGGATCTTCGCCCCTTGTGACACAGGCTGCTTGTGAGCGGTTTGTTGTCATTAAATTTGACTTCTAAAATAGAAAAGGACATTGTTCAGTTAGCTTAAGAAACAAACTAACGGAATATATAATGTATATTGCAACCTGGTTTCACATATATAATACAATTCAAAAGCTTGCTGAGCTCCTCGGGGGGGCCGGGCGCATGACCACGATGGAGCAGGCATTTCCTCTCTGAATCACAACACAAAGGCGCTGAGACAAGAAGTTTGTCGCTCTGTTGTTTTTAGTTACACCAACAGTTTAACGCCCAGCTAATTCATGAACCTTATTGCTTATTTGCCCCACGAGCCAAGGGTTTCCTAGCCGATCCAAACACAGGTGCATCAGTGTACAGGTACTCTGTATTTGATGGTTTTCTCTGTTTCCCTAAAAAAAGCAGCGCCGCTTCCCTCCATTTGCACTGTACCGAAGACAAGGTGCTGGCCAGTGTGGAGGCACATGTGTACTCCCACACCACCAGCTTGTCATAGTTCTACGGAAGCATGCTGACCCCATCTGGATCCTCACACACTCATCCCTTACAACCACACTCAAACACCCAGGGCATCTTACCCTGGTCTCTGCTTGCTTCAACTTCACCGTCAGTTCGTCGTTGTGTCGTGAGAGTCTCTGTATCTCCGCCTGCAGGAGGCCCACGGGTCCCTCGCCCTCCGTGAGCGGCGCCAGGGTCCTCCTCTTGGGCGACGGCAGCTCCATGCTGGGACGGTGCTGAAGTTCTTGGTCCTCAAACTTCTTTATCTCGTCCAGAAGTTCCCTGCAGGAGGGAGTGAGGGCAGGTCTTAGGGAGCTTCGAGTAGGAAGGTGTTGTGATGTGGATGGATATGAATTTATAACTGGTTGACTGTTATTATGCCCAAGTCCCCCACCTTCTCTTCTCCCTCTTGGGAGAGAACGAAACAAAAAAGCATCGCTGAACTAAAGAGAGGTAATGAGAAAAAAAGAAGAATTGCATAAGAAACATGAGAGAGCGCGCCGCCATTCCACGCCTTGCAAACTATTTCATCCGGGTTCGAGCCCTGGGCTGGTAGGATAGACTTGGCGTAAATCTTTAGCTGTTAGTCCGGTTCGCCCAGCAGTAACTGGAGATCTGGTTGTAAACCAACTGGCGGGCCATGTTCCAGGAAAAAAACTAGCAGAGTAAGACTTGAGATATGACAAGGAAAAGTTCTGGTAAGATGAGCCAAAAGTCTTCACCTGTGTTCTATAGTCTCAGTGGCGTAGCGTCCCCCCCCCCCCCGTCTGTAAGAACATTGGATAAACCAAGGCGATGAGTGTCAACAACGTAGCTGAAGATATTACTAAACCACACGCCAGAAGATAAGACGACGACTTTTTGGTCCGTTCTGGATCATTATCAAGTCGAATCTGATAATGGAATCGACTTGATAATGGTCCAGGACGGACCGAAACGCCGTCGTCTCCTCATCTTCTGGTGAGTGGTCTGGTCTTCATTGGAGACATCCTCACTCACTGGTTCTCTAGATCGGAAGTGTCGACGGAGAGGCCTAGGTGCCACTTCTGGGCCTGCGTGAAGAGCTTGGCCAGGAGGAGGGAGGTGGTGTGGGAGGCGTGGATGAGCTCCGTCTCCACCTCCGCTCTCACCACGTCCGCCAGGGCGTCCAGCATCTCCGTCACCTCCTCCGACGTGTACGTCTCCTCCGCCAGTCTGCGGGAGCCAGGCCGATGGTCACAGTCATCAACTAACTCATCTAATTGTGGCCCCTTAAAATGTGATGATTATATACATATTAAATACAAATATATGAGAGAATCTAAACCCCTCAGTCACGATTATTTTTAACTCATAAATATGGTAACTACTTCTTAAGGGGGGGGGGGGCTCACACCAAAAAATACAAGTTGATCAATTTCAATCAAACTTTAATTGGTAGTTATAGATGAAATGGGCTTCAACTGGTCCAAGTCTCAGCATCGTAGCATAAATAGGAAGGGAGAAAAATAAAAAACCTATTATTCAACAAATTTTGAACACTTTTCAAAATGCCTGGACAAAAACAAGTTTCAACTAAAATCATTTCTATGACACTCGGCTATCACATTAGCATATAATAAAGGATTTCTATAAGGAATTTGATTAAAAAAATTGTTTGGTGCAATAATACAATTTTTCAAAGTTTTCCCCCCAGAAATATGCAACAAACTGATGTTTATAAATATTTATAAAATCAATAAATAAACATAGGAATAAAGTGTGTTATAGATATTGTGGCAGCAGTTTGACCAGACCACACACTAGAAGGTGTGGTCTGGTGTCAGTGTCAGTGTCAGACCACGGAGGAAAATTGAAACAGGAATTTCCTTAAGTACTTTCGTATATTAATACATCTTCAGAATTAATATACGAAAGTACTTAAGGAAATTCCTGTTTCAATTTTCCTCCGTGGTCTGACACTGTCACATTCTTAATCACGTGTTTATTTTCGTGATATACACACATATAATATACAGCAATGTCATAAAGAATTTCTTGACAAACCGGAAAGCGTAATGTTTGTAGAATAACACACACACAACACATGACCAAACACGAGGTACAAATTGGGTAAGTTTAGATTCAGAAAAGACCTGCATGAACAGTGATTTACAAATATAGTTGATTTATGGAACAAATGACCACATGATAGACGTAGGATCACTGGAGTGGAGGCTAGAGACGTCTCCGTGTGTCAATCTTGTTTGAGTGGATATGAATACTGATCTGCCTCGTATGGACCATTATGCCCTCACGCAGTGTCACTTGTTGTTTTAGCTTCAGCTACTCAGAACAAAAGGTTGCAAGTAGCACGGACTATGGTGAGCCCGTAGTGGACTAACCTGGCACAGGAGCGGGGCTGTCACTGTTTTACCGTTAGTTACTCGGCTTTCAGTTTTCTTTATGGGATTTTGTTATTATTCCTGGTGCCCTTCTCAGTGCCCCTGACGCCCTACCTGGTGTCCCTGGTGGCCTACCTGGAGCCTCGGGTGCCCTTCCTGGTGCCCCTGGCGGGCTACCTGGTGCCCCTGGCGGCCTACCTGGAGCCCCCCTGGTGCCCCTGGCGGCCTACCTGGAGCCCCCCTGGTGCCCCTGGCGGCCTACCTGGAGCCCCCCTGGTGCCCCTGGCGGCCTACCTGGAGCCCCCCTGGCGCCCTAACTGGTAGGTGTGATCATACCTGGAATCCTTAACATCCTGGAAGCAGGCGTCGACGGAGCGGAGGCGGTGGGCCCTCTGGTACCGAGTGAAGCGCAGGTAGCCCGACATGCAGGTCCGGTGCTCCTCACTCAGGCCGAGCTCACTCTACACACCATGAAACAGTCACAATAATATTTATTATTGCAATTCGCACATGTTATCTGCATACTATTCTTGCTGCCTTTTATTAAATGATGCATAACAATTACTATGACAAACCCCCTTATGGACTATATTGGTGGAACTACTGACTCTCCCCAGAATACAACCCCCACAACAGTTGCCTAACCCCAGGGGAGTACCTATTTACTGATAAGCGAACAGAGGCATTAGGTGAAAGGAAACGTGCCCAACCATTTCCGTATCGCCTAGAAATCGAATCGGAGATCCCCGATTGTGCGTTGAAAACGAAGCCGATTGCATTACAAGATATTTAACAAAAATCTATGTGTTAGTTTTAACACTTAGCATGCGTTGCGTGTAATTATATGCACCTTGTATAGATAATATTAGTCACTAAAATTAATGTATAAATTGTATCATATCCCATGTATTTTTTTTTTGTGCCTAAATAAATTTGATCATATCGGTGTGTTTACACTGAGCAATGGGCGATGGTTCACGGTGAGCCTATGGACGGGTGATACCCCCACCGACCCCTGCTGATATCATCAACCCGTATACATTGATGTTGGGAGACATCGCTGACATTCTATAATCATCAAATTACATAGTGATGTATACAAATATTAGCACAAGCTATTATGTCTCCACAAATTAACGCCGGGTACAAGCTGTTTTCCCGAAAGGAATATGACTCTTGTTATAACATAAATATATTATATTTACCATTTTTGTCCCGCAATATCTGCAAAAAAACAATAGGGAAGGTTCCAATATACAGCACACACACACACACTGGCAGCCAGCGACCTCCGCTGTACAACAACTGTTGCTGGCGGCGTTGCTAGGTTACCATCACAACAAACCTCACCATGGCTGCCAGACGGTTCAAACAGGAATTTTATATTTCCTTTCAATAGTTCAGAATGATATAACCTCGGGTACTTGACTGCTAAATTATCATACTCTCGGCCAGGTGTGAGGATTATAGTATATATATTTACCGAGTGTGACATTTTTCTTGGATTTCACATAGCATCAGAATTAAAAATTCACAAGCGATCCTTTGAGAATATGACTGATATTTATCGTAATATTTTGCTGTAATATCTGTACATAAAAGTATTTGTTCAGGATCTGGAGAATACTAGTCTGATGACTAAAAAAAAATTGACTAACTTAAATTTGTTAGGATTGAGTTAACTAAAGAATATACCTTCAAAGAAGGAATTTACTATAACCATGGATTGCTTAAAGACGACCTGAGAAGCAAACCCAGTCTGTAAATCTGAGACAAAGTGAAGTCTACAGAAGCTATGCCATCTATCATCGTACTATTATGCAAGAAGAACCACATGTCAATGGATCATCCAATAAAATCAGCAGATTTATAGATGTTACGATTGCCCGACTTAGACTCGGCTATAAGTATCTCTGGGAATTTTCATTACCTGCTGATGTCGACCTGACTAAATGTACATTGTGCCCACAGAATTATTCATTAACCCTCCGTCGCTATGTGATGGAGTAGTAGAGTAGTTATACCTTGTTTGGGCGTGAACCCACTCTTTGACTTGGGGCCTGAACCCCTTTTTTTTGGGGGGGGACTCTTGGGACCTTCCGACCCACTCTTTGCAATGGCCTTGCGGCTCTGTGTGTCTGCTTTGCGGCTATTTTCCTCGTGCTGTGCCTTGCGGCGTTTATGGAAAATGCTAGTATACTTGGGATATATGCAACATTTGACCATTCCCCAGGATGTCACTCACAACAGTCGACTGGGCGGGTATAAGGAGGTATCCCCATACGTCTCGGGGACGCTAAGTCCTGAAATCATCTCAAGATAGTCTCACTCTGCCTAGGATTAACGGACCGAAGAGACAAAGGAGTTTAGAGACAGCTCTATAACAGATGTTCAATATGTAAATATTTCTTTCAAAATTATCTACTACCAGAAATTGTAGCCAATTATCTTCTGTTTGTTAACTGCCCGAAACGCTTTGCGTAATAGTGGCTTTAGGCATTGTATGTACTAGCCCTAACTATAAATCCATCACTCTTCTGTATGTTGTTAACTGTAAGTAATTAATGCATGTATAGGTGATTGTAACCTCTCCACCATCACCCATTGGACGGGTGATGGTGGTAATGCATGGTAGGCAAACCAAATTATTTATCTGATTTTACCTGAGGGCCACCATCTCTCTATAGTGGCCTCGACGCGGATAGGAAGCCAGCAAATATAAATTGTCTTTAAGATTGTTGTGGCGCAGTTCTTGTCAGAGTTTAAGTCCAGAACGTAGACCACTGTATCTTTTTTGTATCCCTTTAATTTTGTATGATGTAATGTCCTTGGACGTTATAGTTTATAGTAAAAATATTATTACCTACAGGACATTTTATGAAATCAAGCAAATTATTTATTTAATTACTAGATGGGGGTACGAGGCTGTGGTCTCTCTCTCTAGTATCTCCCCCCCACTCCTCGGCTCTCAAGTCATCTTCAAAAGTTGGGTTAGACTAGTCTCAAATGTCTGGCCTCCTATTTCGAGTTTAGTTTAGTTAGTTTAGTTCATTTATTATGTACCCCATACCCATCTTGTGGGCGGTAGTGGAAAGGGTTACAGAGGCACATAATGGGCTCAGGGACTGAACCCCACAATTCATTTAGCTAAGCAAGACAAACTTTTTTTTTTTCTTTAGATTGCGTATTTTGAAGTTATGGTTCGTGTTGGCGAATAATCTGGCCGGGAGGGACAATCCGCGGGCACCGCTGACGAACGCTCACAGTTGTGTTTACAACAACAACGTTGCAGCAAGACGACCATGTCCCTCGCGGACGAGCTTCTCAATGATTTCGAGGATGGCGAGGAGGATGAACTGCTCTCCAACGAGATACAAAACAGAGATCCTGAAAATGGAAAGAACGGAATTGGGGACGCCATGGAAGTGGACTTCAAGGTGCCACTGGCCGTCAAGCCCGGCTTGAGGTCAGTAAGGCAAGTTGCGAGACTCTGGGATTCAGACAAACTCAAGGAGATTAAGCAACATATTGAAAAATATGCCTCAAAACCGAGGAAGTCTGAAGATTTACAGGGTCCGGTGAAGCTGACCCAGAGTACAAGTTGATTGTTGAAGCCAATAATATTAATGTAGATATTGATGACGAAATTGGTACCATTCATAAATTTGTTAAGGAAAAGTATGCTGTAAGATTCCCAGAGCTTGAGTCACTTGTGGTAAATTCTTTAGAATATCTTAATGCAGTGAGAGAGTTGGGTAATGATGTAGACAAGGTGAAAAACAGTGAAGCATTAGCCCAGATTCTAACTCAGGCCACCATCATGGTGGTGAGTGTCACAGCGTCCACCACACAGGGAACGCTTCTCACAAATGAAGAGCTCGCTGCCATTGAGGAAGCATGTAAAATGGCCCAAGATTTAAATGCATTTAAAATTAGAATTCTTGATTATGTTGAGAGTAGAATGAGCTTCATTGCCCCAAATCTTTCTTGCATTGTTGGTGCATCAACAGCAGCCAAGTTGATGGGAGTAGCTGGTGGACTCACCAATCTTGCAAAACTCCCTGCAAGCAATGTTTTGCTGGTTGGTAAGCAAAAGAAAACTATGATTGGAATGGCACAATCCTCCATGTTGCCTCACACTGGATTCATTTACTATTGTAGTATTGTTCAGGAAACTCCTCCAGACCTTCGTGCAAAAGCTGCTCGTATTGTCGCAGCAAAAGCAACCTTGGCAGCAAGAGTGGATAGTATGCATGGCAGCCCATGTGGGGCAGAAGGATTGCGCCTTAGAGAAGAAGTAGAAAAAAAGCTTGATAAATTGCAAGAGCCTCCACCAGTTAAAGCAATCAAACCATTGCCACAGCCTATTGATGCTCCAGGAAAGAAGCGTGGAGGCCGTCGGGTTTTGAAGATGAAGGAACGTATGGCAGTCACTGATTTGCGCAAAGCTCAAAACAGGTAAGTTCAGTTATACATGAGACCTAGTGGTGTTCTAATCTTTCTGAAAGTCATATTTCCTTTGCACATTTTACCTGCAGCTTCAATTAAATAAGACACAGATGTGTTTGCACTTCAAAAGCTTAAGATTTTGGTTAATGTGTGCCTTATTTTGTTTCTGGAACATGGATGTTGTCTCTTTCTGTCTCAGTTTAGCTTTCGTAAGTGTCAAAGCATGATGATGATGATGATGTTTTAGATTCAGCTGCTTGGAACAAAATGTTTCAAGTAGCATGGGCTATGATGAGCCATAATCGACTTATCTGGCACAGGAGCAGGGCTGTAACTTGTCAAAGCATGACTTACGTCTTAATGGATTTGGAGGTTTACATTTGTAGTGCTTTTTATATGAATACCTATGATTGTAGAATTTCTATGAATGTTAGTGTTATTTGTTCTTTTGCTATCCAGAGCTTATGTGCAGAAACCAATGTCCCATCATTACAAGATCACCATAGTTGGCATTACCTTTGGTACTTTGTTCGGTCCTTATAACACTCCCATTCCTGGTTGTGCTGTACTTTGACTATTGCCCCCTATGTAAACCCTGTTCCCTCTTGATCTCTTAATTACCTTATCTTAATTCATGAATAGCCCATTTGCAGGATTCTCTCAGTAATCCATTCTTAGCTGAGACAGAAACAAAATTTAATAACTTTCATCTGATGCCTATATTCACCTAGCAGTAAAAAAGTACCTAGAAGTTAAACAACTGTTATGGGCTGCATCCTGGAAAGGTATGTGTGTTAGAAATATGTGTAGCAGATATGATAGATAAAAAATAGGTTGGGAAGTCAGTATATTAGACAACTGATGATTATACAGGTGGAGTCCAAGAGCTAACATTTTGATTCTGCAGGCAAAATAGTAAGTATTGTTCCTATCTAGATCCCATTGAAAGTCCCACTTGTAAAGTTTTATAAAGCCCTGACACTGGTGCTCTCTAGTGGAATATTGTTGCACAATGACAGCCCTTTCAAAGCTGGAGAAATTGCTGACCTGGAGAGTGTGCAGAGATCCTTTAGAATCCACTCAGTAAAACATCTAAACTATTGGGATCGACTAAAATGCCTGAATCTGTATTCTCTTGAGCGCAGGTGGGAGAGATACATAATAATTTACATGTGGAAAATAATAGAAGGGATGGTCCCAAACTTGCAACTTGCACACAGAAATAACATCACATGAGACCAGAATGCATGGCAGGATGTGCACAATACCCCCATTGAAAAACGGGTGCAATAGGTACTCAGAGAGAGAATTCTATCAACATCAAAGGCCCGAGACTGTTCAACACGCTTCCACTACACATAAGGGGCAGAACTGGCCAATCCCCTCGCAGTGTTCAAGAAAAAACTTGATAAACACCTCCAAAGGATACCTGATCAACCAGGCTGTGATTCATACGCCAGGCTGCAAGCAGCCGCATCCAACAGCCTGGTTGACCAGTCCAGCAACAAGGAGGCCTGGGCGATGACCGGGCCGCGGGGTCGCTAAGCCCCAAAACCAACACAAGGTATACACCAGGTCTACACAGTGAAGGCTTATACCCCCTTTTAATAATAATAATAATTCATTGTGTCGGGGGACAGGCAGCAAGAGTGTATTCATACATGTTAGGCTTATATCAAGGTCATCCCCAAGGTCAATTTACTGACCCTGCCCAGGATGCAACCCCACAACAATCCTGAGTACAGTACCTACTTACTGCTAGGTGAACAGGTGACGTGCCCAACCATTTCTGTCCCAACCAGGATTTGAACCTGGAATTCTCAACTGTGAGTCGAGAACTAATCCAACTGTATTACCGGGACCCTATTTATGAAAAGCCTTTTTCTTTAACATTTGCATTGCCATTCCCACACTATTGCTCTTTTCATATAGAGGTCAAAGTCTGCCAATTGTGTTGGTTATAATGTCCAAACATACATCTGCAGCCATGTTATTGTGACTTCATCATCTGCTTGTGTTGGTTACTCCATTATTTTATGTTATACTCTTAATAGTTATCACCCATATAGGTGTTTGATATAATAGGACACAGATGAAGTTTATTTCACCCACAAGATCACAGTAGATGATCTTTCTTTGCATCCTGCTCATAATTCATGACATAGTTTCCTAATTTTTGTATCATTTGTAGCCTAGGCAAGGCCAATGGGGTATAAAATGGTATATACAGTATACCAAACTACAATAATTTGTTTAAAACTGACTTCTACAGAACCAAATATGATTTATTCATCTTATGGAAGGAGACACTACTGTAGTGTGCTTAACCTTCACACATGTGAAAGTATAAAATTTACATATACTGTAGTTACTGTAATAACCCCAAAATTTGTTTTATTAATCTTATTGAATTAACTTATTAATTAAGTATACTTGTCTGGTATAATAAAATCAGAAAATATATTTAAATACTGTATGTATTTTGTTTGGTCTAGAATGAACTTTGGTGAGATAGAAGAAGATGCTTATCAAGATGACCTCGGCTACACTAGAGGAACACTGGGGAAGGGTGGTGCCGGGCGCATTCGCAAGATCACGGTAGATGAGAAGACAAGAGTGCGTCTGTCAAAAACTCTGCAGAAGGAGGTTCAGCGTCAGACATCTTTAGGCGGTCAGACAACAGTAAGAAGACAGGTAGCTGGTACAGCTTCCAGTGTAGCATTTACTCCCCTTCAAGGACTTGAGATAGTTAACCCACAAGCAGCTGAGATCAGCAGTCAAGCTAAAGCCAACAAATACTTCTCAAATGTATTGGGTTTCAAGAATGTGAGCAAATAAGATTACTTGAAGCTTAGGTATAAATATTAAGGCGATGATTACTTATCGAGTATGAGCAACAGAAGTGTTTGGCTGTAAATAGGTATTTCAGGTTGTATATATGACAAACAGTTAACCCTAATCATGACCAATTTGATCTGGCTTTGTTTTATATATAAATGTTAGTCATGCCACCCAATCCTTTGTGTTTATTTGCAGGCATAATGGGAATTAGTTGTTCCAGTCAGTTGATGTAAAACACCATGGATATTTTGATTGTGTAATTCAACCTCTCAGTTTTATCATTTTTTCAGTCTGTGGTATGTATATCCTTGACTCATTCCTGTAGGCCAAGATTGGATGGAGTATGCTGTCTCAACTTTATATACACGGTAATATATTTCTCTTGCAAAGTCCTTCCCAGAGGTCAGATACACTGTTCTGTCCACATTTTTTTTTTGTATCCATCCTTTGTGTCAGGTTTGCATTGTGCAATCCCAGAAAATTTTAAAGTTTTCAATATTCCAATGTTTGAACAGCTATCATAATCTTACACCACATATTTTGTATTCTGTTAGGCAGCAGAACTCATCACTTCAATCATGTCTTAACCATTTGTGAATGTTTACCATACATGAACATACACACGTTGGTACAGACCTTCAATTTGTTGGGAAAAAAAAAAAAATATATATATTTTTCATTATTAGATTATTATTTTGTATGCAAAATGTAAGAAAACCCCCAAAATAAGTGAATATTTATAGTTTCACTTGTCAATGCCTGGTGCTCAACTTTGTTGACGCTTCCTGTTTTATCCCTGAATGTTTCACTGATTGTTTTATCACTTGTTTTTCTTTATTTACATCCACAGAGAGCTATTATATCCATATTTGCATCATACATGTAAAACCCAGACAATAACTGTTCAAATTGTCTTATGACTACCTCATTCCCCTAGTAACATCCATGATGCTAACTGCATTCATACTATGAAATAGTAGCAGGATTTGTTTTTCATGATTCAAGGTAAATTCCATTACATACACTCAGACCTATTATAGCAGTTATATTGAGTAAAAAGTATTCTCTTGATCTCTAGAGTATGAAACTATTTTTCTCATACATCTTTGAATTGCCAGATTTTGCTTTAATGTGATTTACAGGAGTATAACCCCCTAAGACAAATTAACAAAGTAAGGACTGCCATGTCTCAACAAAACTTCAATCAAAATATGTTTTTCACAAAATATAGAAAAACATATAATGATGCTGCTTTGTGGTAAAAAAATCTTGTAGTATTACACCAGTCCAGGAAAAAATTTGTGGCATCACTCTAGAAAGTGATGACGCCTTATTAACACATCTTGAAAATTTATTAACTTACATTTATAAATTTTGCCTGTTCCAACATTTTAATTTTAGCACATTGCTTATGTGAATACTGTAGTGTTTTTAAATTTCGTTACAATATCATATGCAATTGATAAAATAAAAATTGAATTCACTTAAAATTTTTAGTTATAACAAGGTTTCATAAATAGCATTTTTATCCTACAGGGATTGTAATAGCCTTAAAATGTATTACCACTGCCATTATTAGATGGCTCTCAAACTCTTATCCACAGACATTTCGTTTAATTTCACATTTTACCATCAGTGTGAAGTTGACAGCAAAGACTATTCGACAGGGATAATGTTGATTCATCTAGTTTAGCCGCAACAATTTCAAAAATATTCTTGGTTACAGTGTTATATGTAGAATAGTAACTTCTATACTATATTTCAGAGCAAGGAGAAATTATGAATAAACTGTTGTCAGTTTGTATATTTAATATCACATCTTCCCCACTCCAAGGAAGTGGGAAATGGTAATTATAATGTAATATAAATTTAGGATTAATATGGTAAAATAATTTATACAATTTTTTTGAAGATTAATATAGACCTGTTATAATCAAGTTCATTATAATCAGACATAATAATATTCATCAAGATATATTATGTGGCTGATATCCAATTAATTTTAAAGTTGAAAATTTTTACGGTAAAGATAAATTCTCCACGAATACCAATATGCAATAAATTCCTGAATGCTAAAAGGATCAAAAGGGAAAGAAAAACCTAGGATTGAACTATGGCATAAAGATTAACATTAGCATTCACGTGAGGCATCAACTAAACCAAACATTCATACAGTATTTGTATGCAAATATTTTATTGCAGTAGGTACATATTTTTTTTCAAATTCATCTTTATAAAGCTAAGAACTCTGTCAATGACTAGTTGTGTGCAAACAAAATATTATACAAGTGTATTTTATACGAAAACAAAAAACAGCTTTTAGAAATTTTATATGATAATGTATTTTATGTGCAGTACAACAATAATTGTGGCATAATTAAGTTCTATAATCATCTATTCGTATGAGCCAGGTGAATCATCATAACAATGGTTCATACTTCATCAAGAAATATCAAGTTACGAAGTCATTAAACCTGGTGTTGAGTTTTAACAATTCAACAATAAATATATCCAAGACACCCGAGTCACTTGATCATCTTTGACGACACAGTTTGTAGCCATGTAGATATCTGAGAAGATCCTTCTTGAGACAAAATTTTGGCCAGCGGACCAAGATGTGCTACAGTCTGAAACCGGTAAAATTCACAAAATTATAGATGTTAATATAATTATTTGATGCCTATATCTTCTTGGTACTCAACTGTACCAACACAAATGTTATTTTCACCTTTTAAGATTACAGCAATTTTCTTTTATTACAAATTGAACATATAAAACATTCAAAGACATTCAGGATTCTTTTAGTATCTATGATCTTAAGTTGTGTATTAAAAGAATGCAATCACAAATATTATGTGCAGAGACTGCACTGACTGCTTTTAATTTTTTTCTCTATCAACCTCTAAAAAAACAGAATAATGGAAATGGCAAGAAGGCGTATTGGCCCATACAAGGCATATCCACCCATGTTAAATTCACACATATGCCAAACCTACACCTGAAACAATCCAGCGATCCTATATCTATTGTTACCCAGTAAGTTATTCTATACATCTAACAACCCTATTTCTAAATTATTATTTACCCAAGTCTTTCCTGAATAGCAAGGAGACATGGCTCAAGCATTAGCTCTCATTTCCCACAGACACAGGTAGGTTAACACATACTTAAAAAACTGCAGATATTACCTGTACAATATCAAGAGCTACTAAAATTGCAACTACTATTTTTAAAACTATCACTAAATAGTTGCCAAAAGCATAAGTGGGGTAAGACAAGCACCTCATAAGAATAAGGCAATAAATATCACTAGTCTTAAGTTTTTCTTCAAACTACCTTAATGGCTGGCTGAATTTCATGCTTGAAGAGATTTTATTGTTGTATTTCAGTGACATACAATTTTATAAGTGCTGCAGGAAGCAATTTACAAAGATCTCAAATGATGCTAAATAAGAGAACATCAAATAATGAATTTAGGAGCTTATATTAAAATATATACAGTACTTTTAGTGCACCTATTTTGAGCTACTTATAAAAATATAACTTTTTTAAGTATTAAAAGTCTCTATTGCTGCTGTGTTGTTGTTTTAGATTCAGCTACACGGAACACAAAGTTCAAAGCCGCACGGGCTATGGTGAGCCCATCCCTCTATTGCAAACACCTTAACTTATGCTCACCTGAGCGTGGCCAGAAACAAGCTGTGCTGCCATGAGCATCGCCCATGCCTCGGGAGAACCAGGGCACATAAGCACTGCTCGCTGAGCTTGTCTTAAACTTGTCTTGTTTTGGGAATTTCTTCGAATGCTTGCATCAAATCCGAGGGTAGCCATCACACTTGTTACAGCATCCTAAAATCAATTACAAAAATCTTGATTATAAAAATGTGATAAATTGATAAAAATTTATAAATGTGACCATAGCATGATAGCACACAAAATGAGGTCAATTGGAATAACAGGTAAGGCAGGATGGTGGATATTAAATTTTGTCGAACAGAACACAGAGTCAACCAAATAAAATCAAGTCCAAGTGCAGTTAAAAGCTCTGTACCTGCCTTTTGCTTAAGGAATAAGGAAAGCTGCCTTTCCTTATTCTCATATCAGATACAGACAAAAATACAAGTCACAGCTTCATACAGTATCATCTTTTGCAGATAACACAAAAACCAGCATGAAAATTACTTCTGTTGAAGACATTGACAAACTACAAGCAGATATTAATAAAGTTTTTGACTGGGCAGCAGAAAATAAAATGTTTAACAGTGATAAATTCTAGGTATGGTAAAAATGAGGACAAACAAAATACAGGGTACAAAACAAAATCAAATCTGTCCATAGCAGGAAAGCAGCATGTATAGGATCTGGGAATAATGATGTCTGACAACTTAATGTTAGAGAGCATAACCAAGCAAATATAGTATCAGCCAAAAAAATGATAGAATGGATAACAAGATCCTTCAAGTCTAGGGATCCCATCACAATGATTGTACTATTCAAATCACTTATGCTGTCACATCGTGAGTACTACTCAGTACAGTACTCACTTACCCCTTCAGAGCAGGAGAGATTGCTGAAATAGAGGGAGTATAGAGAACATATATGGCATACATAGACACGACAAAGCACCTAAATTATTGGCATAGTCTTCAAGCTCTCCAAATGTACTCACTAGAAAGGAGACGAGAGAAATATCAAATAATATATATATATAACATATTGGAGGTCCCAAATCTACACATTAAAATAACAACATACTGGAGCGAACAATATGGAAGGAAATGCAGAATAGAAGCAGTAAAGAGCAGAGGTGCCCTAGGCAAAATCAGAGAACACTGTATAAACATCAGAGGTCCGCAGGTGTTCAACATCTTCCCAGCGAGCATAAGAAATATTGCCAAAACAACCATGGACATCTTCAAGAAAAAACTGGATAGTTTTCTTCAAAAAGTGCTGGACCAACTGGGCTGTGATGGATATGTGCACCTGCGGGCCGCTCCAAGCAACAGCCTGTTGAACCAAGGTCTCTCAGGTTAAGCCTGGTCCTGGGCCGAGCTTGGGGAGTAGAACTCCCAGAACCCCATCCAGGTATAAAAAATAAATTGAGTAAATACTATGATTACCAAGAAATTCATATTTAACAACTATTTTGGGGTCAGATTCTTTACCTAGCTTTTATCTATCTTCTGATCCAAAAGCAAAATAACATGGGTAATATAGCAAACCTATGGATGAGAGGCAAATCTTCTAGACTTTCTTTAAAACACATACTAATTAAGACCTTCAATAAAAATGATAAAATGGTGTTAAAAAAATGGAGAAATATGCCTGTATTGAGCAGCCATGGCTAAATAAACCAACAAATACCAAGCCATAGCTAATACATTATTATTATTATTTAAATATACAAAATCACCTGAGCAATGGTTGTGTTTTCTCCTGCTGTCTGGGCAAGTTTGGTTGCAGCAGACGCACAAGTGGCTGCTGCTCTACACTGGCCACTGGCGTTCTTGCTAGATGTTGATGAAGTGGTCAGGAGGTGGCGGGCCAATGACCTCCATAGTGGAGCACTAGATGGGTGCTGGTGGACAGTACGACTCAAGATTGACTTTGCTTCTTTTGTGTTTCCCTGAAAGATGCTGAAACTAAATACCCATTTATCTTGTATTCTATATATAGTTACAATGTAAAGGTTCTTAAAGAAATGTGAAAATATTAATGTTTTATAGTAATTAAGCACACTTGGGTAATGAAGGTTTTAGACAATGCTGTCTTGTTTGGAAGGGAATAGAACAATCAGAAGAAAGTGCCAAGCCATTACGACTCCAAGTGCAGATACAGGTAAAGGATCAGGATAAGGGTTTGGAATGGAATGGAGAAATTAATGGTACCCAACCATTTGAGTAATTGGAGATTGAACGTTGACCTGCATAAAGTAAGATAAGAGGAAGTTGTGATGTGAAGTTCCACATACTCTAGCCCTATCTTTCCCAGTTGATTGACAGTCGAGAGGCGGGACCAAAGAGCCAAAATTCAACCCCCGTAAGCACAACTAGGTGAGTACTCTGATAGTGCCTAGTCCTGGCAACAGCAGGACCTTGCCTACTGGAGCAATCGACTGGTACAGTTGGGACAATCTTTTTTTTTTTTTTGTCGATGCCGATTAAAAAACTAGTAAATTTAACAAGGAAACAAATATGTTACAAACCTATGGAAAAATATTTTTGACAATACACCCATGATTGATTTTCTGTCTAGAAGTAGCATTCTGAGAAATGAATTAGTTTTTTTACAGGTCAAAATTTGTCTGAAACACACTTATATACTGTATATACCTTTACAGATATGCATTGTTCACTCGCTACAGGAAGGCACAGATTTCCATTGCAGATTATAAATTTAATTCTTTATTATACATAACTAACTTGTGTGTAATTAAAATTATGTGATTAATATGTGTGAATCGAGTTTATTTATAGAATGCACATCTATTAGGATTGATTCTAATAATATTCAAGTAAAAGGCTTTGCAGATGAGTGCACCAACAGTAATCTCACCCGTGCAGTAGCTCCTGCAGCTCTCAAGAAAGCCACATGATGAAGGTGATCTTTGTGATGTTCATATGGTTTAAGTTCAGCCATGGCGGCACTTGTGAGCACTGCATCACCAGAAATGAGACCCAGAGCTGCTAGAGCCAGGAGTCCATGTACTGATGCTCCTTTCAACTGTGACCTATCAATATGAAAATATTATTAAGCAAACAGTGAGTTTGTTACAGGCTGTACCTAATGCTTCAGAAGTAGCCAAGTATGAGAAATAAGTTAAAATATAATAAACAATTCCCAGAATATTAGTAAAATATCAAAATTTGTACATTGCTATAGTCATTAAACTACTATACAGTATATCCATATTAAGCCATGCAATTATTTGTTAGTCAAGCTAATATATTATTATAATTATTTAAAAAAGCAGCACATCCAATATGTTGTCATACCCTTGGAAAAGCAGCTTCTTAGCTTCATCAGTATTTTGAAACTTGTACTGGAGAGATGCCAAAGCCACTAGGATATGTGACTTTTGAGTATCATCAGGAGCTAGCCAGTGAAGGGCAGCAGTGTAGCCATTGTATGCATCTTCAAATTGGCCCGCTTACATCAAAACAAATATATTACAATTACAAAAAGCATTCAGTGACAAATTTAACAATTACTCTGTACATTTCATGTGCATGAGGGCAATAAAGAAAGGGATTGCTATAGCAGATCTTGGTGTACAAACACAACAGTGTAATGAGTTATGGAGGATATAATGATTACAAAATTTACACACAAATCAGAAATTTGCCCAATATGAAATTAAACAAACCATAAATAAATTTTTGCACACACACACACACACACATACACAAAGGATCTACAAATTAAACAACTGGAATGCTCTGCACTCACAATATCTTAGGACATAACAATGAAAGATGGTTTTGAAAGGTAAGGTAATTATAAAGAGAAAGCACTAAGCCAGTATGACCATATAGCACTTGGAAGGGATATTAGGACAAGGATCTGGGATATGATGGTGGCAAGGAACATTGCCCAACCACTTGGACCGTCGAGGATCGAACACCGACCAGCAATGAGCGAAACCGTTGCTCTACCAACTTGTCCAAGTGATTCAGGAAATATCTTACCTTTCAAACTTGCAAGTGCTAGGCCACACTGAGTGAAATAATCTGGATTCTTAATAGCCTTAAATTGAACCATAGCCTCTTCTACGTTCCCCAATGCTGTTAAAGCTCTGCCAAGGTTGCAGCGTATACCATCAATACGCTCCACTGATTCTGCCTATAAGATTACAATTAGTGCATAGCATATGTTCATTATATTCTCAAACATAAATATAATGTCATACTGTACATCAGTAAATTAAATTTGTCTTTATTGAAAAAGATGTTAGGAATGCACCAGACTATGTTGGGTAAAGCAAACAATTGCAGTTATTGTTTTCAATAACTGCAATGTTATTGAAAACTGTCATTGTCATTTTTTATTGTTGACATCCTTACACGGTCACATTTCTGCTGTACACAAATACATTCTCATTAAGCTCCTGCACTTTTTAAGATGTCTTTTCAAACTTTGTGCAATCTCCCCTTGTTAAGGCCATAAATACAGAGCCCAATAAACTCTTAACCTCTGCTAGCATTTAAAATAATAAATAAAAAATTACTTCAAACAATCCACTTCAAATCTTTTCAACTAATATATATCTACAAATTGATAAAATGTGAAACTATTTAGAGCTTTTAGAACAGTGCTCCCAACCTTCTTGGAAATGACCTCAAATTTCTATAAAAGTAAGTACGGTAATTATCAAAACAAGGCACCAAGCTGGGCTAATACCCAAATGACCCTAAAGGGGGGGGGTTATGTCCCACAGGTTGGGAACCAGGGTTTAAGGTATTACTTTTGAATAGTAAGTAGATGAGAACATCATTCATATATGCGAGTACCTTTTGCCCTGCCTTACCTCATTCTGTCGAACAATGCGTAGTGCCGTTTCATAAGCCTTGATCGCCGACTGGTACAGTCCCATCATCTCCAGCATCAAGCCCGTCATGTTCAGCCCCACAACATCTTCCTCTCTTTCTCTAGAATTTCCAAATACATTTAGTTTTATGACAATTAGATTTGTTAACAATTATACAATAAAACAAAAGATCAGGACGTATGAATGTCTCTTTAAATTCCCCATACTCACCGAGAATAGAAAACCATACAGTCAGTTGAACTTGGGGTTGACTGCTTAATAACCTGCTGAGTACGCACATTACTTTGCTTCTTGGAATCACATGCCATGTCCGTTACATGATGAGTGAAGCCTATACAACTTTCTAATTGAATGCCAAGCAAGGTTGTATGACGGAAGAGATCAAATGCTTCAGAATGGCCCACACTCTCAGCAACAAGGGCCTGACAAAGGAATTACAAAATTAACATTCAGACATAATGCAAGCAGTTGATACTGGCTAGAAATTTTATATCTTTTGGAATTGAAGATAACTAGTTTTTTCCACCAGAAATCAGCTCTTCTGTTGCAACTGGCAATATGAAGGAATACATTCCTTTTGGCTGGGAATGCAGTGTATGATGTATTTGCAACATTAAAACTATTTTGGGTAATCATGCAACTTGTCTTCTCGAAGACATCACATTTTGATGTTAAAATCCCCCAACAGATAAAAAATATGAAGTACAGTACTATAAATCATAGCGGCTCACATTCATATTTCCTATATACAGTTAGATTTAGGTATTTTAGTACACCCTTTTCTGTCCACTAAGGCAACTCGAGACTATGGGCTGAACCACAATACAAATTTACATAGTATATGCCACAGTTATAAGACATACATATTCCAAATAAAAATATTTTTTTACTAAAAAATGAATGGTATCCAATACAAAATATTTCAAGGTATTGTTTAAAGCTAAAACTACTGTTAAAATACCTGTCCACCCATGCTTTCACTGCCGCTATAAACATTTAATAAATGCTGAGGGTTTTCCTTTATAAATTAGGCAAAACCACATTAAACTGAATTGGTATACAGTACTAAAATTTGCTACAGTATTATGTTACTGACATTTACATCAATATTAACTTTTCATAAACTTTCAATATTTATGTAAAGCAATACAGTATAAAGTTTAATTCTGTATGAAATTCAAAACAAAGAAAACAAAAGGAGAGAACCAAAGTAATACTACAAATCCTTATTTCTTACCTGTCCAACCCAGCAAGTAACAAAGGAAGGATCTAAAGCCTGTGCTTGGGAAAAGGCTTCATGAGCTAGATGAGCCTCCCCCTGAGTTAGGTAAAAAGCACCCAGGTGAGTCCATGTAACTGCACTGGGCTGGCACTGGCACGCTTTGATCAGAGCGTGCTGAGCTAGAGCATACTCACCCGCCACTGTGGGACATTGAAACAAATTAAGGAAATATCATAACTTTTAGCGATGGTTTTTAGAGACCATTGCAAGCTGGAGTAAGTGCTTTCCAATACCTCCCAAGTGTCAGTATAGCTCAGCAGGGATATTTAAAAAAATTCCAACTGCTTCAATGTGAATGTAAACCTACTTTGATTATGTAAAATAATTTTCAAGTGAACATTGCAACTAAAGGTGCAATGAAGTGGACAGCTTAGCAATAAAGTTTAAAGATTGCTAAAAGTAAGACTACATTATATAAATATGCATGCATAGAAAACTCAAACATACTCTTGCACATAGCACATTCTTAATCATATACTACATATCAAGTCCACAGGAATATTGACACACAATCAATTTTAAGTATACTGTACTGTACTTTCAAAGAAATTTTTATATTTTGACCCCAATACTCTATAATTACTGTACTTCATATACTCTTACTTTTGTGGGCAGCAACAATGCCAAGAGAATTCCAAGTCATTCCATTTAAAGGATCCATAGAGAGGCTTTTTCTTAGAGCCATAAGAGAGCGTTCCATCAAGTCCTTAATGGCTGCATCGCTTTCCCCTTCTTTTCCTGTTTCCAAGATCTTCCCTTGCAAATAAGTATTGACTCCTAAATCATGCCAGAGTGCTGCATCATCTGTTATTTGAAGGGCCACTCCATAGCACCTAAATGAGAAGAAATTTGTGTAAGAGGGAACCATTTCTCTCACTTTCTAATAGCACATCAAAGACTCTAGAGACATTCAATCCGAGACTAGCAGATGGACATTTTATCACTAGAAGAATCAGCCATCAGGATTATTGTATGAGCATTCAGTACCTTCCAACACCAAGTATTCTATTTCGTTTATGAAGTACTGTATTGCAAAGGCTCCCCACCAATCCCTCCTGCACTAATCCTTGAGTATGTAGAGGAACCGCCATAGAGTGGATCCCTCTAAATAATAAGACTGAATCCAGCTGCTGAATGCCCTGAAAAATATTAATTCTGGAGCAGCTGCGATGAAATACAGATCAAATTCAATTCCAACAGATCGTATTTTTGTTTACTTATTTTTTATCTTGCTTTTTTAACAGTAAATATTTATATTAATACATTTTTATTATTAAAATATACACTACCATGCTATAAATTGTACAAAAGTTTGTTTATAAACCTTCGGTAAGGGCACAAATACAACTATATTGTTCAGCAAAATGAGTACAGTTACATCAGGTATGGATAAGATGCATTTTTTAATGTGGATGCTGGAGGTTATGGAGGTCATTGTGGGGGGGGGGGGGGCAGGATTTGCACTATACAGTACAATATTTGATTGCACATGGCCTGAAAGTTACGCTTCTTTTTTACCACTAGCATTGACTGATATAATGCATTGTACTCCTGAACCACTAGTGAATGATAGTGATAAATTTTAAGTAGAGAGTAAAAATGAGATGTGTAGAGCACGAGAAAGAGTGAACGAGAATAAAAAAAAAAAAAACAATAGTAGGGTGTAAGGGGAGGGGACGGAGGAGTTACTTGGACAAGTACATATTCAAAACAAACTTTAGAAATGTTACCTGGCACCCAACTGCAGTATCTCCAGTTTATCCACCAGAAGCATTTGATCTAAATCTTTAACTTCCCTGTTAACCAACTTTGCAGGAACCCTAAACCTGGAAAGCGAGACTGGCACAGGATGAAGCAGAGTACAAGCATCGCCCATCAACTTCCAAATGCACGAGCTCTCTGGCTTTATTCTGGCAGCCCTGCAGACAAAGAATACACACACATTATACCAACTTCACAACAAGACAAAATTACCTTTAACAGAAAATGGTATATTGTACTGTATTTATAATTAGTTCTCAAAAATGGTCTACTCAGTCTTATAATCAGGAATTATATAGGATGGTCATAAGCAAGGTTAAATTTGCAGTTACTATATAAAAACTATTTTCAGTCTGATCATTTTAATGAAATTTGTTATATACAATAATTTACAGTACAGTACTGTACTCATATATTTATATGTACTATATTTATATGTAGTACTATATGTACATACACTATGTATTATATTACAGTATGTATTTAACTTTTAAATAATTAATTCAACTTTTTAATTAAAAGTAGTCAAGATATACAATATTCTACAGTGCAACATTTCAAAACTTTACATACTTACTTCATTAAAGCAACAATGGCACGGAGGCATGCATCCTTCACATTTGCATGGAAAAACTGCTCATAATATTTCCGAGCAATTGCTATAAGAGCTTCGGCGAGCCCGATCAGAGACACAACTTCCACAGGTTTTATAGGCTCACGCTTCAGCACAGCTTCATAATCGTTTATTGCCTCCAGGTTCTCCCCAACTATCTGAAACAAATACCATCAGTAATCATTGATTTTTTTTACCTTATACTAATAAACAAAATTAGATTATTTTATATAGGTAAGATCTCCAGCCGTCAACTATTCAAAGCCAAAAATAACACATCCCTTTTTAATAATCAACAGTGCATACCTGCTTGATGTGAGCAATCTGGTACAGAGGATAGAGAGCCCCAGGATTCAGTTGTGACGCATACGTGAACACCTTGAGAGCTGCTGAGTGAGCACCGCGAGCCAAGTATGCATCTCCGAGGCACTCGTAGGTTGCACTGCAACACATAATATACCTCGTGATAGAAAGTTAAAATCAAAGACTCCATTTTTGGTATAAAATTCCTTAATGAAGGTAAATAATGTAAGCACTGTATATAAATCCAATCCAAATCCAAAATAAACTTTACATAAGACATACAATATAGTAAACTAATAATGTTACAATGCTGATGGTATGACGACGTTGCTAAAGGCCAGTAGACAGTATCCATATTTTGCTAACAGCAGATGTTTTTCCAAAAGTTTCTGCCACCATAAACCTTTAACTCCTTCAAGCTCTATAATTATTCACCCTTACCTGTCTTTTATGTATGGTTCCACCTTTCCCTTCTAAGATATTGGTCATCTACCCCTAATATACGATCCCCTTATTTTGGCCTTAAACCCCATTCTCAATAAACGATTCTTATACAACCCCTAACATGTCTATACCATTGAAGTGTATGTCACTTCACCTAACCTTTTCTTACCTTATGCATTTACCTCAGGCCATATACTTCCCCACAGCTATAGTCATTATATACACACATACAACAACTGCTATTTTCAAAACAATATTTTTTACCCTCCCTGATAGCACTGCATTTTTCCCCATATCCAAGATCCCCTTTCATATTTCAAGGCTGGCAATAGTATACAAATCTTTAGTTCTTAACTTTTAAAAATAGCTACAGTAGGTAATTTAAGATTTTTTTAACAAAATATGGTGGTACATAAAATTCATCCGAAACTAAACTCACCTGTCATCAGGATTAATTTTGAGGGTGCACTGAAAGGCCTGAATAGACTGATCATAGTTATGTAAAGCAAGATGATGGAGTCCGAGTCTGAGCCACGCCCACCCACAGGAAGCACGCCCACCTTCACTCGTAATTCGGTGCAACAGATGAATGTTTGCTTCCTGTCGTGAATAATACAGGCACAAGGGTTAAATATGCATGCAATAAATGAATGCATTCAGCACCTATGAAAGCTGTGAAAATACTTGTAAATAAATACTTTTACTTAACATACATACCTATACAGTATACATAATCTGAACTGTCTTTTATCATTAATATTTTTGAAGATACTTCAAGAGTTTTGAGAGATTCTTAGTAGTGTTTTCCCACACTAAAAACTGACAGAACAAAGTCTTGTGCATTACATACATATTTCCCAAGTACTCTGTACATGTCCGATAGCGATGCTCCAATTTCATCATCACATGGGTTTAGAGATAAAGCTTTCTCGTAGCATTTGAGAGCTTTGTCCATGACATCCTGGCGGCGGAAGAAATGACCCAAATACATAAAAGCTTGTCCAAGCTTTGAATCCAGTTTCCCAGCCCTCATGCAACATATTTGAGCTTTCTTGAGGTCTCCTAATTCAAAATACACACGACCCAATTCCAGATGAGCTTCTGCACAGTCAGGCTGCTCCTGAAATATGTAGACAGCAATGAATCACTAGTTATTTCTCTGTCCATGAGTTAATAATGTATAATTTAACATTTTCAAAAGTTTTTAACACTGAACTTCAAACAAAAATATTATATGTTAACAATCAAGATAGACACTAAAGCATACAGTGTATGTGTGTGTAATTACCTAAGTACAGGTACAGGATGAGAGCTACGCTCATGGTGTCCTGTCTCCCCAGCATTCTGTTATATAACGCTTTGAAATTACTAATGGTTTTGGTTCCACCACCACCTCACCTAACTTGTTCCAACCGTCTACCACTCTGTTTACGAAGTTCCGGGTCTCAGGAAGTCTTCCCTATCAATTTTATCAAAAATCCTTAAAATATAAATGATTAAAAAGAGCATTTTATCAGAATTAAGTTTAGCTAAATTCCAATTGAAATATAGTGGAACCTCAGTTCAGCAAGCTATATTGGGACCAGCCCTGATTAAATGAATTGAGGGATTCATTGAAACCAGAGATGCCTTCTGCACCACACCAAACAATATTACTGCAACACCTCTTGAATTTGACACATGCATATATTTCCTGCTAACCTGGGAAACTATGCCTCATGCCTCACATTGGTTTGCATTGTAAAAGCACTACAATCACCTTCTGTGCTTAAGTGCTCAATAACTCACTACACAATATATGTAGAACAAATCTCTAACCCTGTCTATGTATGACAAGAGAATGTATGCATGCTGGTTAGTATTGTGAAATTGACCTGATTTACCCAAAAGCCACTAACCCTTTTGGCCTCGACGAGGACAAAGTTAGTGGCTTGTTGAATGTCCCCCCCCCCCATTTGCCATGATGACCTTTTCCAGGTAGATTTCAAAACTTAACAGAGTTTTGCCATTAAGGCTTCAGCAGGTAGGCAGTTCCATGGGTTTATAACCCTATGGGTGAAAAAACATCTCCTGTTCTCAGTCCTACATTGTGGTTTGTTGAGCTTGAAACCGTTGCTCCTTGTTTGTGTTACATCTGACCTTTTAAGAAATTGTCGGGATCAACATCCTCTATCTTGTTCAGTATTTTAAAAGTTTCAATGAAATTTGCCCTGTTGTTAGCCATGTGGCATTTGACCGTTCATGATACAAGAGATCAAGCACTACAATCACCTTCTGTGCTTGATTGAGTGCTCACTAACTCACTGTACTATACATCTCCAACAGATCTCTAACCCTGTTCATGAAGGACAGAAGAAAATGGATATATGCTGGTTACCACTGTAAATGAATGGCCCCATCTGTGGCAGAAAATCAACCTCACCTAGCCAAGAACTGTTTTAGTGTTGCAAACATTTATTCAAGTACTAAGATTTAAGCTCGTACTCGAACAGTGTTTATGAAGTTGCTCAATTACTCCAGCAATCATCCTGTATCGTCAGATATGAGGTCATAAATATGTGATTGTACAAAAATATGCAGTATAATAGAAATAATAGGCAAGTTAAAAATAATTATTTATGTACTTGAACAAGCTCTTCCAAGAGTCTCAATGCCTTCTGCTTCTGCCCTTGAGCTCGAAGAAGACATGCTGAGAGAAGCTTCAATTGAAAATGTTGTCCAAAGGCATCCTCAAGCTGTATAAGCTCATCTTCTGCGAAGTCAAATTCTTGCAATTTTATTCTTGATTTGACTAGCAGCAGTCCACAGTCTAAACTTGTGCATGCATACTGTAATGTAAATCTAGTATTAATAAATAAATTTAAAATAAATACAACACTTCCTGAAACACAAATATGTAACTGGATTATAACCATTAAAAATAGGCAAGGTGCATATTTAAACAGTGAATTTAAAGAAGAAATTGAAGAATAAAAATTAAATTTTTATTATTAGTCTTCTTTCTGTGTACTGCTCTATTATTTTCTTTGTGATGTGTGTTCCAGTTTCACGCAAGTGAGAAGTAGTATAATGTAAAAGTTAAAAGTTAAACTGTTCATTTGTTTTCCCAAAAAATGAGAAACAATGCAGTTTGTTACAATGCACTCTCTCTATGTAAGGGTAAATATTAGGATCATAAATAAATTATTAATACTATATATATGCATTATTTCTTTATCACATTTTAATCGTGACTTGCCTTCTCCAGGAGAGCAACTGCCTGTCGTAGGTGATTTTTGTGTCCCATGTACACAAAAGCCTTAGCTTGCATTAGTAGCAACTTTGTCCGATATGCCTCAAACTCTTCGTTATCTGGTATTGTGACATTCGGATCCTCTTCCATTATTTTGAGCGACCTCTTGCAAGTTACTTCAACACCTGACCAATCATTAGTTGCTTCTTGGACATTTAATAGTATTTTCCATCCAAGGAGATTATTTCCAACTCGTTCAGCACCTGATAAGGAAGTCTGATGAGTTATGTCTAGTATTTATAAAGTAACTAATGTATTTGTCGGTGGATAGCACGCATCATTTTAGTCCACTGCCATCCAAAGCACAAAATTATTTTTCCCTTACAAAACTACTGTATCTAATATCACTTTTATTAAATATATAATGAAACAATGAAAAATAAAATAAACAAATAAAATAAATCCTTATAAATTATATGCATCTTCTACACCAAAAAATAAAGTACCCAGAATATAGTGAAAAAAACAAAATACAAATATTATTTTCTCACCAATCTTTCAGTTACCTCACTCTATGCCTTATCTACTAACTTCCTGGCATATGACTACTGTATATGCTTAATAACAAAAAATCCACCACTACAAAAACTAATGCCAAGAATAATTTACAAGCTTACCGACTCTTAAATGAGCCTTGGCCTCAATGTGCTGGTTATCTTGTTCATAACAAATCCCTTGTGCTAGGTTGCCCCATGGAGATGCCTTGTTCAGGCTTAGTAGTTTGAGTACGTACTTGCTGATTTCTTCTCTGTTCAGTGGGAACTCTCCTGAAAATTAAAAAGTTATTCAGTTTGTCAAACACTAAATAACATTTATTATATGGAAAAGAGCACTCTATTGCAGTGTGTGTGTGGTAGAATTTAAATATTCTAAAATGTGAAATGTAAATCAGATACGAGTTTAATAATACTTTGCCATGGCAGAAGAAATTTAATTACAGGTACAGTAATTCTAAAAACTTACCCTCTTCGCTTGCAGTTGCTGTCATCTCAACATACATACGGCAGATCCATTCCAGAGGATAATATGTGGGAAATATTTCAGCCATTTTCTGTGCTGCTGTAACGAGCTTTGTTGCTTGTTTTGTGCGATACAAGAGTCGCAGATATGTCTGATAATTCCCTTCATTTTCTCCCAAGACTGACTCATTTAAGATGTTCTCCAATGCTTCTTGTAGCTGAAACAAAACAAAGAAAGGTTTTGAGTGTACAGCGCACCTTCAAATCAGGAACTTTCCAGATATTGGTTTCCTCTAAAAAAAAGCTTCCTCTATAAAGAGTGGTATCAAATGTGAAGAAACAATTATGGAAAAACCAAGATCACCACTAGAGTCCTCGGCCTCACATGCTGCTGTATCAGCAAGAAGCAAGGTATAGTATCAACAGATCCCACTGATCCAGCTGTGTGTGCCAACCTTGCACAGCTCGTCTAACCAGTAAATGTGTAGATATTTACGTTATATCAACCTTTCCATAAACTTCCATCCAAATTAATTGTTCTATAAGAAAGAAAATAAACATTTTTACTTTTAAAAATTTTTGTGCATGGGCACACATGCGTGAATATCCATAGCCACACTTTACGAGTTAAAAGAGAAATTGTCTTTTTCAAGTAATGTCGCTTAGTGCCATAAGTGGCACTGAGACTGCCCATGTGCATATTTTATATTAAATGAACAACTGATGTGTCACCCCAATACATCACTGACCACAGCACTAAAATCACAGCAGAGTACATATATGGAAAAGAAACTTTTAGGGTGACACCCCATCACCTCACGAACACTGCCAACCAACAAGTGTGGCAAACTTCATAGCTAAATCACAGGACACAAGCATTTTCTTGTGTACAAGTACATACTGTATTTGCAATTCTAACATGCTTAGCGACAAGACACTAATTTTTTTTGTTAGTGTTGCCATTTATGATAAGCCGGGATATATGTATATTTAATTAAATATAAGATTTTTGAGAATTAATAGGATACTTATAGGAAAGATGAAACAAGACTATAAAATTTAAAAGAAAAGGCAAAAATGAAGACATGGATATAAGGAGTACCACTTCCCCCACACAGATAAAAAGAGGAGTCCAGGGTGTGTGTGTGTGTGTGTATTTTATATATTATATATTATATTTATTTATTTTAGAGTACTGTATATGAACTTATAAATGCTCTAGATATTTAAGGAATATACAAAGCAATGATGTACCTTTGGTGCATGCTCTTCAGGCAAGTCCTTGACTCCAGAGAGAATGTGTGTGATGCTCCGCCAGGCTTCTTTGACTTTGTTTTTGTCCGTTAATCGGTTGGCAAGTATCCGCAGAGTGACTGCAGCACTAACAGGCTCTTCTTTTTCTAACTGCAGTGTTGCTAATTTTCGAAAAACGTTGTCTACTTTCTCGTCATCACTGTCAAAATAAGTTATACATTTTTGTGAAACAAGATAACAAAAAATTTATAATAAATGTACTACTTAATTCTGTGCATGTCCATACAATATACATCATTCTGAGGCAGACAAGAAGGAAAATTAATAGTTCTTCAGACAAGTTGCAAATTATGGAAATGGAATCCTTTCATGCCTAGGAAATGTGTTGCCAAATGCCAAGAGAGCTGCTTATAACTAATGTTATGTACTGTGACAGTAATATCAACTCAGAGCATAGGCCTATAGTAGGAGACAAAGCCCTGTCTCCCAGGAATCCCCCTAAAAAGAAACGGAAAAACTTCTTATGCGCAGGTCAATTCAAAAGGCGCTGGACTAACTGAGAAGTTCCAGCAGCCTCACAGAAGGGCCACTGGTAGCTGCTTGTCTTTGCAGTCAGTGTGAAGATAATTTTGCTATTGGAAGCATGCTGAAATGGATAGTGGAATACAGACATACAGAAGTAAATAAGGAACAATATATGTGCAAGACAGCCTCAAGGAAGACAAATCTTTAAATTTATCTGAATATTTCAGTTCTGCAGTGTAGCAGACCTATGTTTACGGGGCCAGCTATGAAAATTGAGGGCTTGTTCTCTCCTGTAACTGTTTTGCACATTGGTACTGCAATTTACTGGTGGCATGTGAGAAGATTTTATCATTTTCAAAAAAATCCTTGTTGATTTCCTAGTGGTCATGGATTGTTTGGAGTGATTTTAAGAAATTTTGACATAGCATGCTGTTACCTGCAAAGATGTTATGAAATATTTCTGAGGTCGAGAAATTCTTTGTGAAGCTTCCTGTACCTTTTAGAAGGGGACAAAGCCATTTTGGGCACCTGCCCTTCTGGAGCATATGGTCAATCAAAGCCTGGTGCAAACTTCAAGTTCTAAAAAAGGCAAAGCATTGTGGAGCTACCAAGGAGTACTTGCTCAAAAAAGTTACACTGAACAATGATAACTTACATAATTAACAAAATGCTGTAACATTACTCACTTTTTGACAATGTCAGTAAGTCTGGTATATATTGTAATGCTCTCATCTCGATTTGTGATGCCCGGTTGTTTCTCACAGAGCACAGCGAGTCCCTGCCAGGCCACAGGACTTTCAGGGTCTACCTGTGTTGCCATCTGTAAAAAAAAAAAAAAGGAAATCTAAGCAACTTTTTTTCACATACACTACTTTCCTAGGAGAGCAATCAAGTGGTACAGGATGGAGTGGTACAGGTTGGAAAGAACCTTATTGTCTGTATTCATAGTACAGTTACTTATTCCCTGTAATATATCTTGTTTTGTGATATACCCAATTTCATTAATGTCAATTCATTATTTGTATTGCATTTCTGTACACCTGTATTTTTGTAGTCATAGCAAGGAATGTAATACTGTCATTCCTGTTGTCAGGGACAGGAAGCCTGCACTGAGGCTTATCAAGGGTTCCTCCCCCCCCCCCCCCCACCCTCTCCTAGGCCAGCTGCTGACCTTCCCCTGGATGCCACCCACAACAGTTGTCTTACTCCCAAGTACCTATTTACTGCCAGGTAAACAGACACATCAGGTGAAAGTACATATGCCTAACCATTTCTATCCTGCCCAGGGATTGAACCCAAGTCCCCTCAATTGTGAGCAAAGGATACAGACCACTGTGCTACAGCAGCCTTTTCTCTAAATATCAAATACTGTATGTATATTTTTACCCTCTTCAAACAATATATTTATTATACAGAGGATGAGTTACAATAACGTGGCTGAAAATTGTTGACCAAACCACACGCTAGAAATTGAAGAGACAACGACGTTTCGGTCTGTCCTGGACCATCGACATGATAATGGTCCAGGACGGACCGAAACGTCGTCGTCGTCTCTTCAATTTCTAGTGTGTGGTTTGGTCAACATATTTATTATACTTTAGACTGATATACAAAAATAATAATATATGAAGACCTTGAAAAAAAACTGAAAATTACCATGAGTGCTTTTTTAGAGTCCTCCAGTTTGCCCAACTCTTGGCATGCACGACCGAACAATAACAGGGCATTGTAATTCTTGCGATCGTGTTTAAGAGCAATCTGAAAATGTAGAAATCCAGTTGTTACATGTAGAACATCTCATGAATACGAATGTAGTACCGTAAGACTGATCAATAAGAGTATGGCATTTCTGAGGCACTTTGTTTTGACACTTGCTTCCTGTAAAGATTTTCTTTCCTAGCACTGATTCCTTTCAACTTTTCTGAAATATAGCCAACTTTTGCCCCAAAGAGCACAATATGTAACATCACACCTGAACCAATTACAGAAGAAAAATCATTGAGGGATGTCGTACCTTACAATATTTACTAACTGCCTCGAAGTCATTTTCCTTCATAGCCTTCTTGGCCTCCTTCAATGCACTCTTGGCCTCTGCCATGGTTCTGCAAATTTCAACAGTGATAAAAATACGTATAAGAAAACAATCAGAAACAATCAACCTTTACTGTTCAAAACTTCACGAGAATGAACCTGTAGCATACTCCGAATGGAAAATAATAAAGACTGACTTTTGCCTTAGCCTAAATTTGTTAAACTCAGACATAGAGGAATTAACACTAACAATATTTAAGCTAACCATTCTAACAAAACTTAGCCAACTTGCCTTTATTAATACTAAACAGTGGTTTAAGTTCATGGAGATTAGACAGGTTAGTGTTTATGGTATACTGTACTGTAGAGGGCATGGCTAAGGTATGGTTCATCTTATGGTTCCCCTCAATTGAGGTCCAGAAGCCTGTTAGGGTTATGGAGATCCTCCCCACCCCCCCCCCCCCCCAGGAAAATTACTGACCATCGGTAGGATGCAACAGTTGCCTTCCCCATAACAGTTGCCTAACTCCAAGGTACCTATCTATCATTAGGTGAACAGAGATATCAGGTAAAAAGAAACGTGCCCAAACCATTTCTGTCACGCCCAAGAATCTAACTCATTGAGAATGAAGCCAACTGTACTACGAGACCCAATCACGTTGCAAAATTCTTCCCACTCAAACTCAGAATTGCATTGGATCTGAGGCCCACACCTGCCCAGGCCCCAGATAGTAAAGGTACTGATGGGTTTGTATAGCTGTGTGTGCAATGTGAGGAGAATAAATCAGTTACAGAAGTACTGTACTGTGGTTGGAAGTGACAAAACCTTTTAAAGAAAATATGTTCATTGTGCAGGATTAATGCAAGATAAAATTAAAGGAAATAATACTGTAATGAAAAGCGGAATGGAGGAAATGCAATCAAAACATGAATGAAATATAAATGAATTATTTACACATTAATATAACATTTGTGTTAATGGGAATTCATATGCCCATTAATTTCTATATTATTCATATCTATAGGAAAAAAATTATGATTTATTCCAAACATAGTCAATTAATAATGACTTCAGTTAGGCTGAAGCCAACTAGCAAGAACTTGGTATGTTGAAATTTACAGAGAACAAGTACAGTATACTGTAGTGTTATTATGGAATTTTTTATACACAACAATATTAATAATATTGGTGAATTTGATATTTGTCTGTAATTATGTTAGCTAACAAATAATTAATCAATTATTGTGTCTGGGGGGCAGGCAGCCAATGTATATAGGCTTACTGTATATCTAGCCCCTCCCAAGGATGCAACCTCAAAACCAGCTGACTAACTCCTGGGTACCTATTTACTGCTAGGTGAACAGAGGCATATAGTGATAGAAAATGCACCCAACCATTTCTGTCCCGTCCTGGGGAGTCGAACCCGTAATTCCCGATTATGAGTCGACAACGAACCCGAATGTACTACTGTACTATTGCCTCAATGTGTACAGGAATTATTCTTACTATCTTATTACTTATATCAGACAATCAGTATACAATGAACATATTACAGCAGCAATAGGGAAGACCATTGAACCTTCACATACGTATTGTAATCACAGACACCAACACACACTGCTTCACCAGCTGTGAAATTCACAAGACATTAAAGCATATCAGCGAGATGCAAACGTTACTGCCCAACCATTCAAAGGGAATGTATGTTAACAACTGGACTACCAATTATAAGTACCAGGAGGACGAGCAGCAGGACCTCCAGTGTTGGAGCCTCACTTGGTCCACACCCACATGGGCCTCTGACCCGACCACGGTTGCCAGATACAAATTGCTAAAAGTAGCGAGCTGATCGTCAAAAAGTAGCGAATTTGTAATAAGAGTAGCCCAATTTTTTGTTGAGTGACTGATACGGGTTTCAAAGTAATATATTTTGATATATAGAGTACACTACACGATGTTAATTGTTTTATTCATATTATTTCTGCACACACACACACACGCATACAAAAAAGAAACCCGGATTTCTAGCAAACATATAAACATAGAGCCTTAGCAAACAAACCTGGAGTACTATAATAGATTCAGATTCAGATGTTTATTCAGGTAAGGTATATACATACAAGTGATGTTACATTAAAGGATTGATATATAGATAGAGCTAGTACATACAATGCCTAAAGCCACTATTACGCAATGCGTTTCGGGCAAGAAAAACATTAATATCTAGAACTTAATACTAATTGAGCATAAAGAATAAAAGGTGTTGAGAACAAATACAAATAAAGATAAAAAAAAGGGGGAACATGACTGAAAAAGCAGCACAAATACAATAGGTTGACAAACAGTGTTGATTAAAAAAAAAAAAAGAAAATAACAGACATGGGTTGACAATAGAGGAGTGAGGTAGATTACAGGGAATTTATTAGGTAGTGTTTAGTTTTTATCTTAAACTGGTTGAGAGAGGTACAGTCTTTAACATGGTTGGGAAGGTCATTCCACATTCTGGGCCCCTTGATTTGCAGAGCATTTCTAGTTTGATTAAGACGTACTCTAGGAATATCAAAACTGTATTTATTTCTGGTGTGGTGCTCATGGGTTCTGTTACAACCTTCTATGAAGCTTTTAAGATCAGGATTGGCATTATAGTTTAGCGTTTTATATATGTATAATACACATGAGAGAATGTGCAGTGACTTAATATCTAACATGTTAAGAGATTTGAGTAGGGGTACCGAGTGATGTCTGGGGCCAGAGTTGGATATTGTTCTAATAGCGGCTTTGTGTTGGGTAATTAGAGGACGTAAGTGATTTTGGGTAGTAGAACCCCAAGCACAAATACCATAGTTGAGATAAGGATAGATAAGGGAGTAATAGAGAGTCACCAGGGCAGGGCGTGGTACATAATATCTGATCTTAGAAAGAATGCCCACAGTTTTTGAAACTTTTTTTGATATATTTAGAATGTGTCCCTGGAAATTCAGCTTGTGGTCAATGAGAATGCCAAGGAATTTGCCATCTAATTTGTTACAAATTTGGGTATTGTTTATTTTGAGATTTATAAGACTAGAGGATTTATTGCCAAACAGAATATAGAAGGTTTTGTCAATGTTAAGGGTGAGTTTGTTGGCAGTTAGCCAAAGATGGACTTTATTTAGCTCAGTATTTACTGTGGCATTTAGAGCAAGAGGGTCAGGACTGGAGTAAATGAAGGTTGTGTCGTCAGCAAATAGAATTGGTTTGAGGTGTTGGGAGGCATTTGGAAGGTCATTAATGTAGATGAGAAAGAGGAGAGGGCCAAGTATGCTGCCCTGAGGAACACCAATGTTGATGGGTAGGGTGGGAGAAATTGTATTATTCACAGAAACATATTGGAGCCTGTCAGTAAGGTAGGACTCGAGGTATTGTAGGGAGTGTCCTCTGACTCCATAATGATGTAATTTAAGAAGAAGGTTATGGTGGTTGACAGTATCAAAAGCTTTACGCAGGTCCACAAATAACCCAACAGGGAACTCCTTTTTATCAAGAGCTGTATGAATCGAGTTAAGCATACTAATAAGTGCATCGTTAGTGCTTTTTTGGGGTCTGAAGCCATATTGGCAAGGGCTAAGTATATTGAGTTTGGCTAGATATGAGTAAAGCTGCTTGTATATAAGTTTTTCAAAAAATTTTGACAAGTTTGGCAGGATTGATATAGGTCTGTAGTTGTTAACATCTGTGGGGTCACCACATTTGTGGACAGGCGTTACTCTCGCTTTTTTTAGAATATCTGGAAAGGTTTGGAGTTCAAGTGACTTGTTGAAGAGCAAAGCAATAGCAGGGGCTAAAGATCTGGAGGCTTTTTTGTAAATTAAAGTTGGTATCTCCTCAAGGGCACCAGACTTGGTTTTAAGGGAAAGGATTATCTCATTGACGTCAGTGGAGTTAATAGGCTTTAGGTACAGAGACTGTGGATAGTTACCTGTAAGATAGTCCTTAATGTCAGTACTGGAAGATGGAATATCATTTGCAAGGGATGAACCAATGGAAGAGAAGAACCTATTGAACTCTATAGCAGAATCAGAGGCTGAAAGCTGACCATCGTTATTAGACAGGAGAGTCGGTTTGTTATTTAAAGATTTCTTTGATCCCAATATTTGTGAAATTGTGCTCCAAGTTTGTTTAATGTTGCTCTTTATTTGAGTAAATTTATCTTCGTAGTATTTAGTTTTGGCTCGTCTAATTATCTTAGATAGCAATAATGAGTAATTCTTTGAGAATTCTTTGGAGACAATTCCTAACCTATACTTTTTTTTTTCTTCTCAAGGTCGTGTTTTTTGTTAATGGATTTCAGTATTCCCTTTGTAAGCCAAGGATTGTTAAGCCTTTTGCTTGTGACTTGTTTTATAAGCCTAGGACAGTGGGTGTTATAAAGGCTAAGAGTTGTTTGTAGAAAAGATTGCACAGAAGAAAAGAAGAAAAGATTGAAAAGAATACACAAACAACCGCTGAAGCACAACCATGCACGAACCGAAGCCTGACCATGCACAACCCACAGCCTAATTTTTAAGCCCTACCAAGACCCCACCCCCAAGCCCTACCAAGACCCCACCCCCAAGCCCTACCAAGACCCCACCCCCAAGCCCTACCAAGACCCCACCCCCAAGCCCTACCAAGACCCCACCCCCAAGCCCTACCAAGACCCCACCCCCAAGACCTACCAAGACCCCACCCCCAAGCCCTACCAAGACCCCACCCCCAAGCCCTACCAAGAACCCACCCCCAAGCCCTACCAAGAACCCACCCCAAGCCCTACCAAGAACCCACCCCCAAGCCCTACCAAGAACCCACCCCCAAGCCCTACCAAGACCCCACCCCCAAGCCCTACCAATACCCCACCCCAAACCCTACCAAAACCCCACCCCCAAGCCCTACCAAGAACCCACCCCCAAGCCCTACCAAGAACCCACCCCCCAAGCCCTACCAAGAACCCACCCCTCAAGCCCTACCAAGAACCCACCCCCAAGCCCTACCAATAACCCACCCCCAAGCCCTACCAAGAACCCACCCCCAAGCCCTACCAAGACCCCACCC